CTACCTAATTCTTGCCCAGTATTTAGCAACTGCTAAAACCCCAGCTTCACAAAGATATGACGTCATCGAAAGGGATCTGGCGCCATCTAACGCTGAAAAGAAAGCTGCTCAATCAAGTGGTTCCCAAGGCATCAGGCAGATAGATGAACTGTGCCTCTCCTGAAAATGTAAAAATCTCCCACTGGACCCCTGTGGGTGCTGAGGTGCCTCAGGAGTTTGCAAACAGGGAGTCAGGGTACTTAACCTATTAAGAAAGTCTTATTCTAATAAACCCTGTGTTATTAAATAGAATTCCTATTAGTAACTACTTACATGACCTATAATTTCAAACAGTATCATTTACAAACAACGTTGCAGTAAAAAATCCATGTATATTTTTATGTACCTGTCCAACTATTTGTTCACCCATTTATTTGAGTAACTTTTACTACATGCCTATTATGTGCCAGGCACTATTTGAGATGCTGGAGGAAGAGAGGTGAATAACAAAGTCCTACATGAAATTTACATTCTATTCCAGAAGTAAGAAACAAAAAAACTAATCCTTTCAAGTACTGACCAGCTATGAAGTAAAATAAAGTCAAGACTGGGGGTTAGAGATGCAAAAAGATGCTACTTAAATAGGGTGGTTGGGGAACAGCAGCTAATGATACGACATCTGAGCAGAAAACATACTGACATCAAGGAACAGACCTGCAGAGGTCTGAGCAATGTTTTTCTAAGCAGCAGGAACAGTGAATAATGAAATCCCTGAGGCAGGAATGCGCTCCTAGTTCTGGATCAACCAGCAGGTCAGGGAAGTTAAAAAGCAACAAGGAGATTGGGAATGAGATGGAGAGGTCAGCAGGGATCAGAAAGCACAGGACCTCACAGAACAGGGTAAGGAGTCTGGAACGTTTGAAGAGAATTCCATGCAGGGGAGAGATATGATTAAAAGATCTCTCTAGTTGCTCTGCAAACTCTAACAAACAACTAGGGTCTGGGACCACTGTGGTACCCCAAGAGAAAGACGATGGTGGGGTGAACCATGGTAGCTGAGCCAGTCATAAAAGACTGGATTCCACATTTTGAAAGGCAGAACCAACAGGCTGGCAGACAGACTGAGCAGAGGCTGGGAGAAAGGGAGGAGTCAAAAAGATGGCTTTTGGGTTTAGGGCCAGAGCCACTGGATGCACTGTGGAGCCCTCTGTTGCTTGCTGAACCAGGCAAGACTGGGGGAGCGGCATACTTGAGGAGAGACAATAGTCTTTATTTAAGGATAAATTTTTATAAGTGCAGCACTGGGCCAAATAATATGCATATTAAACAACCCATACTGTCAGACCGTCCTCCAAGAAGCTTATACACCAATCTATCCCTACCAAAAATTATGTAAGCATGCCTATTTCCCAGTGCTTTTGTCAACAGGGAAAAATCAGATTAAGAAAAAAAAAGTTTGTATTTAATTTGCATATGTCATTAGTAAGCTGAATATTTATACTGGCCATTTGTAGTACTTCTACGCACTGCCTATTCGTATCCTCGATCCTCTTATCTAGATTTGTGCCTTCCTGATTTCAAAGTGTTCCTTGTACATTAAGAAACCTAACCTAGTCCATCACGTTGCAAATACGGTTTCCCAACCTTTTTTTCAGCTGTTCACGGTGTTCCTGACTAACAGAAGTGGCTCTTATTTTTACGTAGTCAAGTTTGCCTTGCTCTTCTTTGTAGATAAAATGCTTAGCTGGGTGCCTATCACATAACAGGCACTCAATGAAATTTACCCATAATTCACTCATTCCTACAAAGGGTTTTTCCCCTGGTATCAGGTTCCAAAAGCTGTCTATACTTTTTGAGTGCTTTAGTTTTGCTTTTTAGACGTCAACCTCACTCCATCTGGAATTTATTCTGTGTGGTCTGAGTTCAGGAAGTTCTCATTCCTGACACAACTTTCCTATAGCTGAGCCCCTGCCTCTAGCAAAATTGTCTCCATCCACAAACAGAGTTATTCAATTCCATTCTTTCCAGCTCACTGGCTTCCTCCAGTTCATTCCACAAAGGAGTTTGATTTGGCCATAGCCCTCCCTCCTCCCTGGTCCCTCCTGCTTCCACTCTTAAGTCCTCCTCCCCAGTCAGTTCTTCATAGAACAATCAAAGTAATAATTTTTAAAAAAAACGTAAATTTGATACCACTCTCCTGCTTATAATTCTCCAATGGCTTTCTACTGAAAACAGAATGAAATCCGGATTCCTTACCATGATTTACAATATCCCACCTGGCCTGCCCCACCTCATGCCTCTCCAGTAATGGTTTAATAATACTCTCCTTCTCACCACTAAACCCCAGCCACCGTGGTCACTTTTCAGCTTCCAGGGCACACCCTCCCTCAGGCCTTTTGCACTTACTCTTTTTTCTGCCTGAAAAGCTCTTGTCCGAGAACCTATGGCCTAGGAGACTGGCTGCTTCTCATTATTCGGGTAATGTCATCTCAGGCCTTTCTAGACCCAGATACCACTCCATCTAAAGCCGCCTCACTTCATTCACTATCCATCGCATAACACCGTTTCACTTTATTCAAGGCACTTGCCCTAAACAGAATTATCTTGTTCATTTATTCGTGTTTATGGTCTGTCTTCCCTGCCCCTTCTTAAAGAAAGTGCTCTAGATTCTAGAAGATAGGGTCCTCGTCTTTTTCAGTTCTGTATCCCCAGCGTCTGTTCTGCCCATCGCGGAACAGATACTCGTTAATATTTGTAGCAGGGGGAGGGAAAAAAACTGGGGGGCTCAACTTCTCATCCAAACTTATAAAGGCCTCTTAGCATTCGTGTCATCTCATTTAACGTTGGTGACTGCGGTGTGGAACCAATCAACCCCCTTCTCTCCCTCCTGCTCACCCTCCAGCCCGTCCTGTTGCCAGGCCCCCAGCTCGGACACAGCGCTAAGCTTGCTGATCCCCTAGGAAAATTTAACTCTGGCTAGCCGAGGTTGGACCCAGCACTGCCTTGGCGCCACTAACCCATCTGGTCCCCTTGGGCAAGAGAAGTGCCAAGTTTCCACGGCTATCGTCAAGCCCCGCCCGCGACGCGGGAGGGAGGAGCAGTGGGAGGGCAGAGCCGCTTACCAGTTCATCCGGACTGAGGACTCCGAACTGCACTCTCTTGATGGTGCGCAGCGGGCATGCGCTGTCCCCGGAGGGGGGGCCACCCCCGTGCATCGCGGAGGCAGGCGCGCTGCGCAGGCGCAAACCTCAGTACAAAAAGCCTGCGCCGCCTCCACCTAGGCGCTCAGACCCCGTCCGGGCGGCCGCCGGGAAGGACCTCCCCGAGTTGGGAGGAAAAAGCCGGAGGAGGGAAAGGTGGGGGAGGGAAGGAGGCGGGGAAACGAAAAGGGGTGAAAGGAGCTCTCCTCCGCCTTTCCGGAGATTTTTCCGTCTCCCAAAAAGAAAAAAAAGAGGAAGGGAAAGGAAAAGGTTTCGGGGGAAGAAGAAGAAAAAGGGAAACGAATAAATAAGTAACCGGGTTCCTGAACGGCAGAGGTTACGGCAGTTTGTCTCTCCCCCTTCCGGGAGCCGCCTTCTTCTCCAACCGTCCCGGCCGCGCTCTCGGCGCTTCTGAGGAGAGAACTGGCCGAATGACGCCCTTTATAGATTCGCCCCAGCTTCCCCCGCCCCTTCCTTTCCCGCCCTCCTTTGCGCTACGGGGCCGCCTGCGCCGGCGTGCACGGGGCGCGCGCTCGAGTCGTTGATCGTCGCTCCTCAGCTCCCTGGCTGGGTGACCTTTTGAAATGACGTTGGGGAAGGGAAATTTTTTACCCTTCCGCCTCCCTTCGCTACTCCCTTCAGCACCGAGGTTTAAGGTTTAAAGATTCAAGGATAAATATAGGCCAGTTTTATTCTAGTTTGGCGTGCGGTTTCATCTTTAGCTAAAGTTTCTTATTAATATAACCCCCCACGTTGGAAAATGGTCTGTTCTGAGAATCTGTAATGAAGGAGGCGGGGCCGGTCGGATCCTCCCAAGTGGGTTCCCGGAGTGGGGGAGTGCGGGGGCCATTCTTGATCATGAATATGCAGTAATCTCTCTGAATATGCAAGAACAGATCAAGATGGCGAGGCCGATTGCTGGTCCGGAAGTAGCTTATATCTGTCTAGCTGCCTCCTGGGACGGGTGGGCATCTCCTGGCCTCTGATGTAGGGCGCTGTATGGAGTTCTGGTTCTGGATCCCCGACCTGAGCCGCTCAGAGGCCTCAGCTCTGCGGCCTGCTCCGGAAGGACGTTGGCCACCGCCGTCCGGGAGAGATCACGGGACCGCGACAATCCAAGAAAAGCAGATTAACCATTGGGCGGGACACAGAAGTCCTGAGGGACTAGGGGTCAAGGCATCTGAACATTAGGAAATCCTCCCCCTCCTAGAGTATTTCAAAAATAAGATGGGGCGGAAGGTGCGGGGATCCCAGGGGATTCTCCAAGCCGGGGGAAAGGGGGGAGTAGGACTTCCACTGTCCTTCCAAAGCAGAGATGACACCAACTGCACAGCCACATTCAGAGTAATCCTTGTTTGATGTCAATATCACGTCACCACCCCAAGGCGAGTAGGTATAACCACGAGGAAGGGAAACCATCGCTCAGGGAAAGAAAAGCACACTCCCTTCCCCCAGCGCAGCTGCTTGCTCCGTTTGCCTGAAAGCCCCAAGCACTCCAGACCCAAAGCTCTTCTCTCTGCTGCCCAGGGAAAAATCCTCTCCGTGTTTTATGGCCTCCCTGCCTCAGCCACTTCCTTGGACCTGCTCCTCAGACCTTCCTTCAAGCCCCAGCCTAGACGCCGAATGTGTTGGTCTCCAGGCTTATTACAAGTCTTCTCGGCAGTCCCTCTCCACCAAGTCCCCAAGTCATCCTTGACTCAAAGGGGTATCTCTCTCCCACACCAGTTCTTTCCTAGTCACTTGTTCTCCCATGTTTGTATTCCAGTTTTTCCTTCTATTTACCCAGCCCCCACCCCCACCCCCAGGCTCTCAAGTTGGATCTCACTTCTCCACCTGCCCTTCCCTCTCACAGCTGAGGTTCTGGGCAGTGATAATGGCGATGCTGCCCAAAACAACCCCTGCCCCCATGATGTCAGAAGGTGCCACGGTCTCATAGAGCACATAGTACTGCAGCATCAAGGCCACCACCACCTCAGAGTGCAGGACAGCACATACCAGGGCGGGGTGGGCCTTAGTGACCGCATAACTCACACACACAAAGGAGACTAGGGCAAGAATCCCCACTGCCCCCACACAGCTCCAACTCAGAGGATCCTTGGGCAGCACGGGGGTCTGCAGCATAAAGAGGCCTGGCCCAGAGCCCACCAGCCCCACCAAACCAAACAGGAAGGCCACCGTTGGTAGGCAGGAGGGAAAGTCGAGGGAGCGATACACCAGGAGCCCCAGTGACAGTGCCAGGCCACCTAGGAAAGCAAGCACATAGCCTAGGGCGGTGTAGAGGCCCGTGGTCCCCTCCTGCAGGGTCCCTAGTCCAGGTCCCACAATGATGATGAGTCCCAGAGTGCTGCCCAACAAGCCACACCAGTCATAGCCGCTGAGACGCTGGCTCTCGAGGCAGAGGGCGAGGAGAGCAGAGCAGACAGTGGAAGAACCTTTGCGGACGGTGGCAGCATTGCCAGCAGGCACCACCTGAACTGCACTGTAGGCACATCCGATGCTGAGGACGTTGAGCAGGGCATGGAGGCAGGCCCGGCCTCGGACATCGGGAGGTCCTAAGAGGGGGTCACCACGCAGTTTAAGTAGCAGGGCAATGGGAAGGTGGAAGAGGCATCGACAGATGAGCAGCTCCAGCGAGGGAAAGTGGGAAGCCTGGTAAGCCATACGGGAGAAGGGGCCCACGAAGCCAGCAGGTAGGCCCCCACCCAGCAGGGCCACGAGCAGCCCCTTGGTGGCATCGGAGGGCCGGCAGCGCTGGTGCGATGGGAGACTGGGCGGAGTAGAGGGCGGTGATGGCTGCGTGAAGTCAGGCAGGTTGAAGTAGGGGTGACTGCCAGCCTGTTAGGGAGAAAGGAGCTCGGGCATTAGGGCAGCCATAGTCCAGGGAACATGGGACAGGGCACATGCCAGGCTGAGCTCTGGGACCCTGTGGGACAGTAGAAGGGCAGGCTGTCTTGCTGAGGAACTCTTGGGAGCTAGTCAGGGCCTGAAAGATGGATGAGGTGGTACAGTGTGTGCCTTGAGTCGCTAAAGCAGGAAGCAGGGAGTGAGCAGTCCTGGAGCATCGTGTTTCTTGGGGTAAGTTGTTCCTGGGAGGAGAAAAAGAGGACCCAGGGATGCTCGGTCGGTTTGAGGAAGGGGAGGCAGCCTCAGGTGCTGTGTGTCCATGTGATGTCACGGGTTCCAGGGACATCTAGGAACACTGTGATGAATTTCACTTGTGGGCATCTAGGAAAGCTGGGCAGTCTCGGGGAAGGAGGGGAAAGGGAGCAGCCAGGAGCTACAGGGAGGGGGGCCCTGCTCCCCTGCCCGCCACACTCACCATCTTTCCTTGGACTTCCTCCTCTCCTGACTCAGGGACCCTCGGCCCTTCAGAGCTCCAGCCATTGTGACCTGGTTGGAGGGGTTCTTCCCTGGAACCTTCCTGAGGTGGGGGTGGAGGTTCTTCCCTGGAACCTCCCTCAGGTGGGAGTGGGCCTGTTTTCTCCTTTCCAACTCTGCTTTATTTCTCTGTGACCCCAAAGTCTGTCTGGTTCCTTTTTTTCCTCTTTTCAACCATGTCTGTAGTGAGACGTCTTTGGTTCTTAATTATTTGTCTTGCCCTGTTTCAGAAAGCTTTTATGCACAGCACCTCTGAGGGCCAGCTCCTCCATCTCCTGAGTTTTGAACTTTTGACTACCAGGGAGGAGTCTTCAGGACTGTCCCTCTGGAGTGTCAGGAATGTTTCTTTTCTGTGTGCTTCCACCTGGTGTTGTTAGTGCTGTCCCTGGGAGGTCCACACCAAGGCCCCTGCATTTATGCAGAGTACATGGATGTGGTGTTTCAGTCTCTGGGAACAAAATAGCAAGCAGGTGTGTTCCTCTGCACTGGTAGTCATTTACGTGTACCTGTTCTGTAGGTCTGGCAGGGGTCCCTGTGCATTTCTGGGGAGGGAGTGGGTGTGGGTGTTTGCCCAGGGCTGCCCCTGCGAGTATGCTGAGTCTGGGTCTGCGGGTCCCACTGGGCCTGATTGTGAGCCTGCCACGTTGTGTGCCTGCGGAGAGGGTGTGCGTGTTCTAGGCGGTGTGCACCACAGAGTGAAGCGCTGCAGGGGGGCGGGAGGGGAGGGTAAGCCCCTTCCCAGAGTATAGTCAGGCCCGCAGCCCGGTTTGGTGCCCACTCGTCCGGCGGCCTTGCGTGGCCCCGGCCCCTTCCCAGGATCGGTCCGAGCGCAGGCCGTCGGGCGCGCTGGCGCCCCAAGCCCGAGCCAGGAGCCTGGTGTCTGTGCCGGCTGCGCTGCGCCGGCCTCCTCTCAGCGGCAGCGGCGGCGGCGCTGGGGGGGTACTGTTTCCGGGGGTGGGGGTGGGGGTAGGACCGGGGCGGGGGGAGCCGATGATGTCAGCGGCGGCGGCGGCGGCGGGGACGGGCCGGGGCCGGGCGCTGGGGGGGGCCGGGGCCGGAGCCGGAGCCGGAGCTGGAGGCGGGCGAAACCGGAGCGGCCGGGGGCGGCCACGGTGATGAGCCGGGCCTGGCGGACACGGCGCCATCGCAGTCAGGTGGGCCCCAGGGCGAACCGGGCAGGGCCAGGGCGGACCGGAGCCAACAGCCGGGCCCCCTCCCCGCTGCCCGGTGCCGCGGGGGCCCGGGCCGCGCCCCGAGCCGCGACCGCTCCCCTTTGGGGTTGACCTGGGGGCTCAGGGGTCGGGGGCTGAGTCTGGCCCCGCCTCCAGGCGCGCACGGCGCTGGGGGGCGACTAAGGGGGCCCGGGTACGGCGTCCGACTCGGCGGCGTTCGGGGCGGGGGAGAGGGGTGGGTGCGATCGCCTGGGGCCTTGGAAAGGGCCGCGCTCACTCCCCACTTGAAGGGTTAATTCTGCAGCCCGGTGTCCCCCTCCCCCCGTGGGGCAGGTTGGGGGTGGGGTGGGGCTGGTGTGAGCCCGGGCCGGCGCTGCAAGCTGCTGGGAGGGCGATGGCGTAGGAGCCAGGCAGAAGGGGGGGGAGGGGTGGGCCGCCGAGCGCCCCAGAGTTGGGGTGTGCGGGGTGCGCAAGGCGAACAGGGGCCCCGGAGCCGCTGCGCCGTCGGGGCAGGGTTGTGGCTGCGAGTCCTGGAGCTTGTGTGTCTCCTGCTGTGTTGTGGGGCAAGGTAAACCTCTCTTGATCACCACTGTTTGCTGGTCTGGTAGCCAGGGGTCCAGCAGGGCCCTCCCAGGCCCTGGGGACACAAAGCCAGATGGAAGGGTATCCAGTGTTGTGAGGCAGAATGACAAGATGTGGCCCCGTGGCTCTGGGTGACAGGTTCGCATTTGAAGCTGCGCACAATACCTGCGGAGTTTGTTAGGTGTGGGGTTTTATGTATGTTCCATATCGGGGTGTGTTTTCTTGCACATATGTGCCTGTCCTGCACGCATGAACTATTTGTGAACTGTTGTTTTCTGCAGAGCTGGTGAGGGGTAAGTGCTGTGGAGGGCACCTGAGTGCTGGGTGTGTGTGCTCAGTTGGAGGGGGCAGTTGTGTACCCTTGAGTCAGAAGGTGTTGGGTCTGGTCTGGTTTCTGCGGCCCTGCTGAGGTGTGGTCCAGTCTTGGCGAAGATGGCCTACTGGATGGGTTTGTGGGTCCGTGTGACGATCGGGTGGCATGGAAGGGGGGGTGCATATCTAGAACTCGGGTCCTGCAGGCCCCGTGGGAAGTGAGAACCCCCGGGGTGTGTCTCAGGTACCCGTGGGGCAGCTGGTACTGGTGCCTGGGGTTCTGAGTGGAATGTGCAGGTTGTGTTTATGGGATCACGGGCAGTCGAGTGAGGGGAAGGTTGTGTGTTTGCAACATTCCCTACGGGATTCTTTTGTGACGTTGTTTGTGGGAGCCTTTCGTGCTGTCGGGCCGGGAGGCAAGCTGGTCAGAAAACACTTGTGGGAGGGAGGTGGCGTGACAAGGGCAATGTGGGCCTCAGACTCCGGAGATCAACCGCGAGCTGTGTGTGCGTGCCTGCTCCTGCGTGTTGAAGTGGCTGTGTGGGGCCGCTCTGGGTATGTGTTATGAAGAAGGCGGGGAGATAAATATGGGGCAGAGCAAGGGCAGCAGGCGGGAGGCCTGGGTGTTGTCGGGTGGCCCGGCTAGTCCATGCAGGGTCTGCGTGCTTGCCCCTCGCCGGCCCGCCCAGCACGTCAGGGTCACCGAGAGGAGAGGCCTGGCGGCTGCAAGGAAACTGAGCTTGGACAGAGTGGCTCCTTGGCCATGTTTACGTAAAGGCCGGGTGTGACTCTTGTCACTGAAATGGAAAAAAGAAACACGAAGTTTTCAGTCTCCTCCTCCTGCTTCACCCTCTCTCTGTCCCCCTTGTTGGTATCTCTGCTTTTCCGTCTCTTCTGTGACGCACACTAGGCCACTCCTGCGACTGTGGAAGGGTCTGGAAACGGAATTTGCTCGCTAGGCAGATTCCTCAGAACAGGTTTTCCTCACCTTTGGGGCCCTGGCCCTTCTGTAGGGGTGTGTGTATGTGTGTCTGTGTGTTCCAAGTGTGCACACCCTGTGGTCTGTGCCTGGCCTGGCTGGGAGGGGGCATGTGCATGGGCGCTGGGTGGACGCTATGGCTAGGCCCCCTGCCTGGGGGCATGCTGGCTGCTGTGTCAGGCCTGCACGACAGGTGCACCATGGCCTGGTGAAGGGGAAGGAGGCCTGGATGAGAATTGAGGAGTTCAGGCCCTACCACTTCCTCGCCAGCACTTTCCCTAAAGTGACCCTCAGTTCCTCATCTGTAAAATAGGGCTAATCACTTACCCTGTCCATCTTCCAACAGGGTTGTAGGTACATAGCACATGGAAAACATACCTGGAAAGTAGCTACAGTTTGGGGACTATGCCTGTGCCAGCCACTGTCAGCCCTCTGCCAGCACTGAGCCTCTTCTTGGGGCTTGGTTAATAATAACAGCCGGAAACACTTATTGAACACTTACTGTGTACTAGGCACTGTTCTTAATGCTTTTACATATGATCACTCATTTAGTCTTCCCAATGCTGGATGAAAGTGGGAGTTCTAGTTACTTCCTTTTCTCAGATGAGACAGCCGAGGTCCAGAGAAGTCATATGCCCAAAGCCATTTAGCTAATAAGAGATAAACCTGGATTTGAACCCAGGCAATCAGACTCCAGATCCTGGGCTCTTATATGCTGTCCCCTGCTGCCCTTCGGAAGCTTGTGGTTGGCTTCTCCACGCATCCCCCTCCACATACACACACACACACTTCTGCCCAATTTCTGCAGAACTTAACACCTGCAATAATTCATTTCAGAAGACTGGTATGTTTCAACAGTGATTCAGGGAGTCCCTGCCTGGGAGAGAGAACTTAGCATCCGCTGCTGGGTGCTGGCCACATGGGCACAAAATGATGAAGTGGGTGAAGGAGAGATTATCCTTGTTCTTAGGGTCAGGGAGGACCAAGACAGAGGTGGCATTTGAGGTCAATTTCAACATTTTGGAGGGATTTGGAGAAGAGGCTGGGCAAAGTTTTTATTTCTGGCAGGAGAACCAGCAGAGGCAGAGGCCTGGAGGTGTGGGAGTGCTGAGGCTGGAGAGCACACCGGAAGCTGGAGGGGAGAGTCACTGCAGGCAAGAGGAGAGAGGAAGATGGGGACTGGACACCTGAATGCCCGGCTGGTGAATTTGAGCTTTATTCTGGAGTGGAGACTCGAGAGGGTTCAGAGCCCAGGAGTGACAACGCCTGAGCTCCTTCAGGGCTGTTGATTCTCAGTGAGAAGAAGCCCGGGTAGTAGATGCTAAGACCGAAAGCAGGGGAATAGCTGTGAGCCCTGGCCTTGAACCGTGAGACTGTTAACAAGGCCTTGAGCTAGTTCGGGGGCCAGAGGTAGGACAGAGGGGAAGCTTCCAGAGCCATTTCCCAGGCTAGGCTGCAGATCTGACCAGACTCAGTGACGGCTAGATGTGGGAAGCAAGGGCGAGGGAGGAGTCAGACTTGACACAGTTAGCCTTTAGCACATGAGCTCCTGTGTGCGTGCGTGCGTGCGTGCGTGCGTGTGTGTGTGTGTGTGTGTGTGTGTGTGTGTGTGATGGTTCTGGCAGCCTGCTAGCTGGCCCCAGCCCCCTTCAGGCAGGACCTGGTGGTGTGGCAGGAGGGGAGGGGAGGACCCAGCATCTGGGTTCACACGGGCCTGGATGTGAATTCTGACCCTGCTTTTTTCACAAGCTGTGTGACCTTGAGCAAGGTAAATCCTTCTATGAGCCTCAGTTTCCTCACTTGTAAAACTGGGATCATGTAAATGCCAACTTGGAGTGCCTGAGGAAACCATTAAATGAGGCGATGCATGTAAAGCCCTAAGGGTAAAAAACATAGATAAATAAAAAATAAAGCCTTGGAGGTGCATTAGGCAAAACACGAGTGCCCCCGAAGCACTCAAGTTACACTCGTCACCCCCAGCTCCTGGCCAACTCAGTCCTGGCCTGAGGATGGTGTCCTTCCTAAAGGTGGACACAGTTCAGGCAGGCTTTAAGAAAGCAGGTTCATGGAGAAGGAAATGGCAACCCACTCCAGTATTCTTGCCTGGAAAAGTCCATGGACAGAGGAGCCTGGCGGGCTGCAGTCCATGGGATTACATGACTGAGCATGTGTGCACAAGGGTGGAGGGAGATGGGTTGGTAGCAATAAAGTGGTAGAACTTAAAAAAAAAAAAAAGCAGGTTCATTCATTTACCCAGAATGTTTTGAATCCTCCCACCATGTATCAGGCACTGTTCTAAGTACTGGATGTAGCAGTGGACAAAGCAGACAAAAATCCGTCCGTCCCCTGGAGCTTGCCTTCTAGAAATGAAAGAGCAGTAGTCTTAGTAAATGCCAGGGAGGAAAATAAAGTAAGGGAGGGGAATAGGAAGCTTGGGGAGGTACAGGGCAGCCAGGGAGGGCCTTAGGGGAAGGTGACTTTTGAGTCAAAGCTGAAAGGAGGCGGGATAGCAGGGCGTGAGGCTGCCTGAGGAGAGAATGTTCCAGGCACAGGGAACAGCCGGAGGTGGAGTGTATCTGGTGGCAGTGCTCACATCCCCACCTCAGTCACACCTCTAAGATCACACAGCCAGTTAAGAGTAGAGAAACGGTAAAAACAAATAAAAAAACTAAAACCACAGAGCCATCAGACCTACCATGAAGCCTGATTTCTGCCCCTTTTCTTTACCACTTCCCCCCACCATTTTCCGGGACTGAGTTCCAAGATGATAATAAGAGCTAGCACTTCCTGAGCATCTGCTGCGTGCCCAGCACTCTTCTAGGTACAGCCGGTCATCAGCTTGTTTATTCTCTACAGCCCTACGTAGTGGGCGCACTTCATTATCCCCAGCTTGTAGACAAGGAAACCGACATACAGAGATGTGAAGTAATTTGCCCAGGGTCCCATAACCAGTGTCTGCTCCACCTCCTATAACCCTGTCAGGGCAGCGGCCAGTGGTGGGGCAGTTGAACTTAGGAGAGCCAGATTCAGACCCTGTTTGGTTAGTAGAGAGACCAGGGACAAATCACCCCGCCACTACATTCTCTCTGCCTGCAAGTGTGGCATCTAGAGTATTTAAAGCCTCAGTTGCCTCATCTGTACAATGGGGTTGACACTAGCCCCTGCCTCCCTGTGGTCCTTTTGAGTGCTGAAATGAGATGATGCAGATAAAATGCTTAGCGCCAGATTTGACATATAACGTTTATCTCCTCAACGGCAGCTCCAAGTATTATGACGCTGATGGTTCTAGGTGATCTCCAAGGGCCAGGACAGCCTTGGACCTCTGTGGTTCTGAAAAGCCTGGATAGGCCTTGTCCAGATATCTTGGCAGTCAGCACACAGCCATGCCTTGGTAGGTACCAAGCCCGTATGGTTGTGCAGGTGGGCAGGCCTGGCCAAAGGGTGAGTAGGGGCTGGAATCAAACCTTTTCTTTGCTCACCTGTGCAGAGCTGCTACCTCGAAGAGGCCTTTCCTCTATTTTTTCCCCTTCCTCTAATTTTCACGAAGATCCTAGATGGCCTGGTGGGGAGCCCTTGTGAGTGCTGTTTCAAGAAAAACAGAACTGTTATCCTATACACGCTACTCTGTGTGAGTGCATCACAACACTTCTGATACCAAATGTGTGAAGTTTCTTCCCCCACACTGGCCAATTATCTGACACTAGCTGTGTGTCCTACACTTCAATTTAATTTTGATACTATCTGCCTGGAGATAGCATCAGATTCCACAGGTTAAGGGCTCAGTCCCACAAGACTGCCCCCAATTCAGATACCAGTTTGCAAGCCCAGACCTCCTGTACTGCTTTTTTTTTTTAAACAGATTTTTAAAATTTTTATTTACTTTTTTTTGGCCACACCATGCTGTGTGTGGGGTCTTAGTTTCCAGACCAGGGATTGAACCCATGTCCACTGCAGTGGAAGCTCAGAGTCCTAACCACTGAACCACCAGGGAATTCCCCAAACCTCCTGTACTTCTGACTGACCAGCAAGAATCAGGCTTTCTCATGACCCGCCTCCTCAGATTTGATAATTTGCTAGGATGGCTTATAGAACTGAGGAAAATACTTGTGTTTATTGGTTTATCATATAATAAAGGATATGATAATAGCCAGATGAAGAGGTCTGGAAGGGTCCTGAGTGCAGGAGCTTCTGTCTCCACAAAGCTGGGCTGTGCCACCCTCTCACCATGGAGATGTATTTAGGTCCTGAAAGCTCTCTGAACCCCATACTTTAGCGGTTTTTATGGAGGCCTCATCACATAGGCATGATCAATTATTAACTCAGTCTCCCGACCCTTTCCTCTCCCCAGAGGCAGTGGGGGCTGGGGCTGAAAGTTCCAAACTTCTCATCATGGCTTGGCCTTTCTGGTGACCAGCCCCCATCCAGGACCCCATAGAGAGTCACCTCTTTAGAACAAGAGACACTCCTGTCACACAGGAAATTCCAAGGGGTTTAGTTTAGGAGCTTGATGTTAGGAACTGGGGTCAAATGTTAGAATAAGATGCCCCTAGCATCTCTATCTGGAGAAGGAAATGGCAGTCTAGTATCCTTGCCTGGAAAATCCCATGAACAGAGGAGCCTGGCGGGCTCCAGTTCACGGGGTCACAAAGAGTCAGACTTGACTGAGCAACTAAACAGCAGCACTCCTATCACTTGGGAAATTACAAGAGTTTTAGGAGCTCTGTGTCGAGAATGGGGAAAAAGGGGACTTCCTGGCGGTCCAGTGACTAAGATTTCACACTCAATTCAGGGGACCCAGGTTTGATCCCTGGTCAGGGAACTAGATCCCACAGGCTGCACCTAAAAGATTCCAAATGCCACAACTAAGACCCAGCAAAGCCAAATATATATTTTTTTAAATAAAAAGAATGGAGACCAGGACCAAATACATTATACCTGACCCTTGAACAATGTAGGGGTTAGGGGCACGGACACTCTAGCCAGTGGAAAATCTAAGTACAGCCTTACAGTCAACCATCCGTATCCAGGGTTCTTCTACGTGCTCAGATTCAACCAACCTCAGATCTTGTAGTATTGTAGTATTTACTGTTGAAAAAAAATCCACATAGAAGTGAACCTACGCAGTTCAAACCCGTATTGTTCAAGGGTCAACTTAATTTCTTATTATATCACAGTATCACAGCGGTAAACATGTCCTTCATCCTGATGTGGTATAATCAAGAATGAAGGCTTTGGAGCCAAACAGATCCCAGCCCTGCAACTAACTGATCATATATCTCTAGTTGCGGCAGACGGGGGTACTCTTCCTTGTGGTGCACGGGCTTCTCATTGCGGTGGCTTCTCTTGTAGAGCACGGGCTCTAGGGTGTTTGGGCTTAATTTCTCCTTGGCTTGTGAGGTCTTCCCAAACCAGAGATGGAACCTGTGTCCCCTGCGTTGGCAGGCGGATTCTCATCCACTGCCCCACCAGGGAAGTCCCTGCCTGTCACTTAAAGTGAAGCTAACTGCTAAATTTTAGGGTCGTGATGAGGAGCAAATGAGGTAATGCCAGTGAAGCACTGACACTTGGGGGTCCCTGTTTGGCTGGTGGTTGTCACAGAAGGGAGGAGGAGACCTTGTTCTCTTTCCCCATTTTGCAAACAGACATGAACACCAGCCCAGGAATCCTTCCCCTGGATCCCTGACCCACCTGCAGTTCATCAGCTGATGGGGTAGCACTTGACCTACCTGTGTGCCTGGCACTCAGGGCTGTTAGAAACTCTGATTCTCATCCCTGTGTACCTTCTCCTCCAGGAGAGGACTGAGGGCCGCCTTTTGGCTGAAGAGAGAAGGCCTCTTAGTCCAGACAGTATGAGTAATAAATAGGAAGAGAGCATTTTGGGGGGGTAGGGTGGGAATTGCATGAGGAACTCCTGATGCAGGACACCTCAGAGGTCATGTGTGACCCCAGGAGTGTGGAAGGGGAGGGCCCCGAGGCTTTGTGGAGGGTGGACAAAAGGGGCTGAGAGCTCTGCCCACAGGTCAGCAGGCCTGGCTCTGCGAACAGGCCCCACCTGTTATGACCAGCTCTGGGTGTCTTTGGCTCAGTTACTCTATGGCTCTGGAACTGAGATCTTCAACTGAAAATTGAGTCCCCAAAGCTGAGGCTGTGAGTTGCCTTGCGGGCAGTGACTGCCATGGCTCACATTTGGGTTACCTGCTATTCCTTTTGGATGAGCCTCCCAGCAAGAGGTGAGGTAGAGGTTCCCTGCCCCACCCCCACTTTTTTTTAAGCCAAAGGCCCAAAGCCACCACCTCTCATAGTAAGGAGGGGGACCCAAGCTTCCTCACTTCCAGTCTGGTGGCCTTCCCAGAGATTGGAGCAAGCTGGCATGTGTGCTCGAGACGGTGGTCTTCAGTGGTCTCCTGGCACCTAGAAACCCTCTCTAAGATTTATGTGATGAAGTCCTCTGCTAATTTGAATATTTAGCAGCTTGGTCCAATGAAAAAGCTCAAACAAATCTATTTTGATATGTAAATAAGACTATTATAATGAAAGACAACATGCAAATCTTTGATTTCCTTTGAGTCCCAAAGATTGGGCTCAAGGGACTTGAGACTGATCCAGCAGGCTTCCCTGGACCTACAGGGTTGAACCGATGTCGCTGGATTATTTTGAGGCAAATTGGGAATATGCAAATTATCTTATTCCTGTACTTCTGGGGGCCAGCAGAACAGGCTTTGCAAAAATCTGTGACATTCTAGGTCCAATTAGAGGCCACTGAGCAAGTAACCTGATGGGCTCCCAGGAGGGTCAGGGTCTCTAGAGCTGCCCAGGCCCCTCTGGCCCTGCATGCGGCACCACTCCCCACTTCCTGGGTCAGCCTCCCGCCCAGTAACCTTCCTGAGGACGCAATGTCTGTTTCTCCACAGAGGGAAGAGGCGCAGCAGAAGGGACTCTCTGAGCCACCTCCGCTCCACTCCATGTTGGCTGTGCTCTCAGGTGAGACGGGAGAGAGGTCTGCTGCGAGGGAGATTGGGCCTGAGGCTGCAGGCGAGCAAAGCAGCCATGTCCTCCAGGCTGAGGAGGCCTGGGAAATGGCCATCAGCTGTGGGGCTCCCTCCCCCTCCCAGTGGGAGAGAGGTGTCCATTGCTCCCCCCCATTAGTCTGTGACTTGGAAGTCTTGACCCCTGACCTTCATTAAGACCTGAGGACTCCCTGGCCTCTTTCAGCCCCAGATGTCTCCCAGAGGGGTGTTGGATGCTGGCCGGACGTGGGGTGGCTAAGGTTAACCCCTCACTTCCATGATCAGAAGTCAGTCAGCCTTCCACCAGCCTCTGGCCAACAGCCTCCAACCCCTGCTCAGCTCGCCTCTGACTTGAAAGCCCCCCACCCTCCGCCCAGCCTCTGAGACCCTCCCCTGGCCTCTTCTTCATCTAGGCTGGCGCCATGCCACCCCCAGCAGAGGTGACAGACCCGTCCCATGCCCCCGCCGTTCTGCGCCAGCTCAATGAACAGCGGCTTCGTGGCCTCTTCTGTGACGTCACCCTCATAGCTGGAGACACCAAGTTCCCCGCTCACCGCAGTGTCCTGGCTGCTTCTAGTCCCTTCTTCAGAGAGGCCCTGCTGGCCTCAGCGCCACTGCCCCTCCCACCCATCCCTGGGGGCTCAGCCCCCAACCCCACCACCACCACAGCGGCCTCCTCCTCCTCCTCTTCCTCCTCTTCCTCCTCCTCTCCCTCTCCAGCCTCACCTTCAGCTTCATCCCCACCTCGGGTCCTGGAGCTGCCAGGGGTCCCAGCAGCTGCCTTTTCTGATGTCCTCAATTTCATCTACAGTGCCCGGCTGGCACTGCCTGGTGGTGGAGGGGACGGGGCAGCTGTGGCGGAGATCGGCGCTCTGGGACGGCGTCTGGGCATCTCCCGCCTGCAGGGCCTGGGGGAGGGGGGTGATGCCTGGGTGCCTCCTGCTCCAGTTCCCATGGCCACCTCACAGCCTGAGGAGGACAGCTTTGGGCCTGGGCCTAGGCCAGCCGGGGAGTGGGAGGGGGACAGGGCTGAGGCCCAGGGCCCTGACTCACAGCCTGCCTTGTCCCGGCGGCCCCTCCCCTGCCCCCGATGTGGGAAAAGCTTCATCCATCCCAAGCGGCTGCAGACCCATGAGGCCCAGTGCCGGAGGGAGGCCAGCGCTCGGGGGTCTGCAGGGCTGGGAGCAAGGGGTTCTGTCCCCAGTGGCCCTGCAGGAGTGGACGCCTCGGCCCTGCCCCCAGCGGTAGGCTTTCGAGGTGGTCCTGAGCACGTGGTGAAGGTGGTGGGCGGCCACGTGCTCTATGTGTGCGCGGCCTGTGAGCGTTCCTACGTGACCCTGTCCAGCCTAAAGCGACACAGCAACGTACACTCATGGCGGAGAAAGTACCCCTGCCGCTACTGCGAGAAGGTGTTCGCGCTGGCTGAGTACCGAACCAAACACGAGGTGTGGCACACTGGGGAGCGCAGGTGAGTGCCCTGGATGGCCGGGGACTGGGGGTGGATGGGGGTGGAGAGGTCACATGGGACCTAGTCCACTCAGGGACCACATGGACAAGGGAGGGAATGGACAGAGCATGGGGCCCAGAAAGCCATTTTCAGATGCCTGCTCACCCACTGGGCCCTGCTCATCTGCTTTCTGTCACTCACCCTTCTGCCTCCCTCCAGCCCTGTTTCCTCCCACTGGTGTTTGTTTATTAGCACCGCCAGGTGTCACGTCCTGGCTTGGTGATGTGGAAAAGGCCAAGGAGGAAACAGAAAGCTGCCTCTTGGGGCAGGACAGTAGGAAGCAGAGGCATGTCCATCTATAGTTCTAATGTACCCTTGTTGATAAGATACTTCCCCGTCTGTCAGGTGAGCTTCAGAAGGCGGCTTTGGGAGTTAGGCAAGGTACATGATTATTCCCAGTTCACAGATGGAACAGCTGAGGCCTGGCATTGCACAGCCAGTGGGGGACACTGAACTAGGACTGGTGTCCCTTCTGAGGCTGGCGGGGTGAGACAAGCAGCATGAGAGAAAGGTGAGCAGATGGCCGGGGCAGTTCAAGGTCTGAGCGGAGATAGGAGAAAAAATGGGAAGCTAAGGCCCTAGCCTCAGGGCCCCTGACTCAACTGGCTCTGTCCCTGCCCTGTTCCCTGGCCCAGGTACCAGTGCATCTTCTGCTGGGAGACCTTTGTCACTTACTACAACCTGAAGACCCACCAGCGAGCCTTCCACGGCATTAGCCCGAGTCTCCTGGCCAGTGAGAAGACGCCCAATGGAGGCTATAAGCCCAAGCTCAATACCCTCAAGCTATACCGCCTGCTCCCCATGCGGGCGGCCAAGCGGCCCTACAAGACCTACAGCCAGGGAGCCCCCGAGGCTCCCCTCTCTCCAAGCCTCAACACACCGGCCCCTGTGGCAATGCCAGCCAGCTCACCACCCGGACCCCCACCTGCCCCAGAGCCTGGGCCCCCACCATCTGTCATCACTTTTGCCCACCCAGCTCCCTCAGTCATTGTACATGGGGGCAGCAGCAGTGGTGGAGCAGGGAGTGGGCCGGCCAGCACAGGGGGGGCCCAAGCTGCCTCAGTCATCACTTACACTGCTCCCCCAAGGCCCCCCAAAAAACGTGAGTACCCACCTCCTCCCCCTGAACCTGCAGCCGCACCAACCAGCCCAGCCACAACAAGCAGCCCAGCCACAGCCGCAGGGCCCGCCACAGCCACGGAGGAGGCCAAGGGCCGGAACCCACGGGCCACGAGGACTCTGACCTACACGGCCAAGCCAGCTGGTGGGATTGGCGGGGGCGCGGGTCCTCCTGCAGGGCCTGGCCGGGGCCCCTCTCAGCTCCAGGCTCCACCGCCACTGTGTCAGATCACTGTGAGAATCGGTGAGGAGGCAATTGTCAAGCGCCGCATCTCAGAAACAGACCTGCGTCCCGGGGAGCTAAGCGGCGAGGAGATGGAGGAGAGTGAGGAGGAGGAGGAGGATGAGGAGGAGGACGAGGAAGAGGAGGAGGAGGGGCAGGGGGAGTCCAAGGCTGGCGGAGAGGACCAGCTCTGGAGGCCCTACTACTCTTACAAGCCCAAGCGCAAGGCCGGGGCCGCGGCCCCAGCTAGCAGCGGGGGCAGCGGGATGCCCAGAAGCCGCCGGCCGCCTCGCTGGAGACAGAAGATGGAACGGAGGAGCTGGGAGGAGACCCCAGCAGCCGAGGGCCCCACGGGGCGTGCCCGTGGCGAGAGGAGACACCGCTGCGAGGACTGTGCCCAGACATTCGCCAGCCTGAGGAAGCTGCGCAAGCACCAGGAAGCCCACAGCGGGGGCCCCCACAGCTCCCGGTCTGGACGGAAGCCCTCCACCCGCCTCACCTGCCCTCACTGCGCCAAGGTGTGCAAGACAGCCGCTGCCCTGAGCCGCCACGGGCAGAGGCACACCGCTGAGCGACCCGGGGGCACCCCCACGCCTGTCATCGCCTACTCCAAGGGCAGCGCTGGTGCCAGAGCCGGGGAGGTCAAGGAGGAGGCCCCCCAAGAGATGCAGGTCTCCTCATCCAGCGGGGAGGCAGGTGGTGGAGGCGGGAGTGCCCCTGCCGAAGAAGCTTCTGAGCCCGCCTCGCTCCAGGACCCCGTCATCTCAGGAGGGGAGGAGCCTTCCGTGGGGGCAGGAGGGGCCACCTATGCATACCCACCTGTGCAGGAATTTCCACTGGCTCTGATTGGGAGCGGCCGGGAATCAGGCAGTGGCAGGGGAAAAGGTGGGAGTGAGGGGCCAGGCGGGGCTGGCGGGGGAGACCGGATGGAGGCGATGGGGGCTGCCAAAGTCACCTTCTACCCTGAGCCCTACCCACTCGTCTATGGCCCCCAGCTCCTTGCCGCCTACCCTTACAACTTCAGCAACTTGGCCGCTCTCCCGGTCGCTCTTAACATGGTCCTACCTGATGAGAAGGGTGGGGGGGCCCTTCCCTTCCTACCAGGGGTCTTTGGCTACGCAGTCAATCCTCAAGCAGCAGCCCCTACCCCCCCAACCCCACCACCCCCAACTCTTCCTCCACCGGTTGCTCCCAAGGGAGAAGGGGAGAGGGCAGGGGTTGAAAGAACCCAGAAGGGAGATGTGGGGTGAGCTCTGGACCCGGATCCCCCCTTTCACCAGATGCCACCCTCCCTGAACCCCCGCCACTACCAGCTCCCTGGCTTCCCTGCCCCTTGGGAGCCCCTCCACACTCCTGTGCAGGGACCTGGGGGCCTCTGGAGCTCAGGGGTCAGGCTGCTTTGTGTGAGATTGTAGTTTTCCCACCACCTGGGAAGGGGTCTTCGGTGGTTCCCCTCTCAGTTCTCCTCCAGGGAATGGCCTCCGTGAGGGGCAGGGCCAGCTCATCCCTCCTCCAGCCCTTGGGGCAACTGAGCAATATACTTCCATGAATCTCTACTCACGGCCCCCACCAGCTCTGAATGTCTAACCCGCCCCCTGACTCCTAAACCTAGGGGGAAACCATCTCTCTCCCCGAATGTTCCCCACCCTGCATCTTGAAGCTTTCTCTAAGCCCTTGCCCAGATGCTTCCTAGCACATTCCATCCTTTTGTGGCCCAGGGCCTGGACCAGACCATTGTGATACCCAACACTTACCCACCTGGAAGTGGGCTTCGGATGCCATTCTTCCCAAGGGTGGGTTTCTGTGTCCCTGTTCCCTTCACGTTAAGACGCCATGCCTTCCTTGGCTTCTACGCCTTTGGATCTTCCATATTCCTCCTCCTACTCCAAGACTGTGGAGATGGCTCTCCCATCCTGGTCAAGGAGCAGGGTGGGACGGAGGGCTACCTATCTGTTCCTTGGCTGAGTTCTTTCCCAGCCCAGGCAGCACCAATCTCGGCCCTGCTTTGACCCTCAAATCTAGTAAGCCCCAGACTCTTCCACGGCGAAAGAGGTGAGTGGATTGCACCTCTTCCTGCCTCTGCATATGGCCTCATCTGGGCTAAGCCAGATTTGGGGGCCAGGAAGGAGGAGCTCTATATAGGATGGGGAAGGGGTTCTACTTCCTCCTTGCTTTTTTTTCCCGGTGGTTTCTCCCAGACTAGACCAAATAGCCAGAAAAATGATGGGGGTTGGATGGGTAGGTAAGCCCGAGATTTGCACACAACCTCCCGTCCTTTCCTTAGCCGTCTTTCCCCTCTATATCACTTCCCTCACCAATCACTCCAGATGGTTTTTGGGGAACCATCCTACTCCCCTGGTGGGCTTTGGGGTATCCCCACCAACTTTCCCTCCAAAATAGCACCTTACACCCCATCTTTGACTCAGTTTTCCACACCCAAAGATCCCAGCCTAGGGATGGGGTACAGGGACCTTGTAAATCCCTAATCCCTAATTTGCACTAGTTAACCCTGGTCAGGGGTCCCTATGTTTCCTTCCATTGGTGGAGTTGAAGAAATGTTCGCTCCTAATTCTGATAACTGGGCCTCCCCGCTCTGTGATTGAATGAACACTTCCCATCCACCCACCTTCCCCCGCCCAACACACACACACAAAGCTCACAAGGGGAGAGCCAGTGTGGGGGAGCAAATTTGATAAACGGGAATTAGAGGAGTGCAGTTTAAAAAGGGGGAAAGTTGCTGTCATCAAAATGGCAGTCCTTTTCCCAGCTACTGTTTTTTGGGGCCAAGATGGCTGCCCTCTCAACTGATGCTGAAAGGGCAAGATCATGGCTTTTGGAGGGAGGTGGTTTGGCGGGAGGGACAGGAGCAGCCTCCTGCCTCCTCACACTCTCCCAGCAAACGGAAAGGGAGGTTTTCGACAGGCTCCCTGAATGTTAACCATGGAGGAGTGTCGCTCCTTCACTCCTCCTCCGTCTCTTTGCACTTTTCTTGGTCTTGGCCGCAGTCCGAGTGAAGAGTTTCCTACTGAATGTACTGAGTTCCAATTTTTAAGGGGGAGAAAAGTTTAAAACAGGGAAAAATGCAAAAAAAAAAAAAATCACTAAAAAATTCCCACAAATCTTGTTTCTGGCACTTTAGAAAAACTGCGAAAAAAAAAAGTACACAATAAAGAATACATATATATATCTACACACAAATTATATATATAAATATATATATATATACACAGCGGAACCACAAGAGAGACTGAGGAAGGCCTTGGAGGCAGGGCAACGACAGTGCCCCTATATCCTTAACCTGCACTCCTCTGAGGCAGAAAGGCACAGGAGATGGAAGGGGTTGAGGATGGACCAGGGAATTGAATTTCACAACAGGTCAAAATTCTAAAACCATGGACATTTGGGGAGAACTGAGACTGTAGACATTTATTTTGTTTTTTTGTTTTTTTTTTAAATCTGATTTAGGAAAATATAGTTTCCAGAATTTGGTGTTTCTGGGCAACAAAGGAGATTGTGGCGAAATGGAGATTAAAATACATGTATCTGAGCTGGGGAACTTGAACCTTGTGAATTTCAGATGTTGGAAATTTGGGATTTTGCAATTTCGTCCTTTGAAAATTATCAAGTCTTGTCAGTTTGTGCCCTCTTTCCCCATGTTCCCTGGGAAGAAGGGTGACGGTGGAGTGGGAAGGCCACTGGTTCTGTGCCACAGCACGCAAGATTTAGAATTCTACAGACTCTAGCTCTATATGTAGTGAGGACCCAGATTTAGAGAAACTGACCAATATTTATCTCCGCATTTGTGTGTGTGTCCAACTCTCTAGGCCAATAAACCAACAAGACAAACGAATCGTGCTCCGCAGTGGGATGCCAGGTGCAATTATTGGCGTGGCTGGTGGGTCTGGCTGGACAGGGATATGCAAACCTCATCTCACAGGGATCCCTACGAGGTTAGCCCTGTTTTCCCTCTTTAGGACAAGAACTTCCAGCAACTGAGTAGGTCTGAGAGCCTATTGACCCTAGGTACTTCACTGTAATTGCTGCAGCCACTAGGCTCAAGTTGACTTTGCTCTGACCTCCAGGCAGAAACTAACACAGTCCAGTTCACACAGCCTGCTGGGCACATGATCTTCGTGTCCCAGAAGGGCCATGCCTCCAACCAGGTATAGCCTTTTCTCCAAACTGAAAGGAAACTGAGGCACAAAATATGTGACGGCCATAAGTGACACTTTTCTTGTTCCACTCCTGGCCTCCCACGAGCTCAACTCCTCATCCCCTGTCCTTCCCCTGTATTTTGTCTAGTGTTACTCAGGGATGGGCAAGGTAAAGGAATGGTTAGGTGGGTGGGGGCTTTGAGGAATTCTGATACAAATACCTTGACCAGAGTGGGCAGCCACAAATCAGCTCTAGCAGGTTGCTGCCAACAGGGGAATCAGATCTGGTGTTACTGTAGACCTTAAAAAATTTTCAAGAGAAGCCAGAAATCCAAATTCCTCTGAAATGTCCACATTTTTATTTATTTATTATTTTTTTACAGCTCAGAGTTTTATTCGGTCAACAAAGGATAGTACACCCTTGAGGCGTGAAGGCAGGCCGACCCCAAAGGAGAGTCTTTTTTTTTTTTTTTTTTACATTTTAAAAGTAGCAAACCAGATTTTAAATTTTGGCCAACAACATGGGCCAAACAAAACATTTCAGTGTGTAACTCTGATGTATATTGTATAATGTTTTCTCTTATATGATGCTCAGTCTAGGGGGCAGATTCTAAATACTATTAATATTAGCTTCATTTTACAGATGGGGAAATTGAGGCACAGAACAGTTTAGTAGCTTGTCCAAAGTTTGAGCACCAAAGCTGGAACTTGAAGTTTTAAAAGTGTGCTTTTTATCCTCATTACAAATGCATCTTTTTAGAAATAACCATTTTTTTAATCCTAAAGATAATACATATTATAAAATATGATAAACTGCAGAAAGGCAAAAACAAAAAATGACCACTAGTCCCAACATGCAAACATCAGCACTACTACTTAGTGTATTTCCTCACAGAAAAAAAATTTCCCTATTCATTCAACCAGAGGTACCTGTTATATAGGTTAGGATCTGTGCTAGGTGCCAGGGATATTACAGTGAACAAGACAGAGTTCCTGCCCTAAGAAGGTATACAGTCTAGTTCTTGTTGTTTGTTTCATTCAGTGCCAGCATAGGTGTTAACATCCAATGGAGCTTCCTCAAGAAGCTAAAGAGTAAATAAACAGTGCATTTCAGGTGGGCCCAAGTCCCCCCAAATGCCTCGTCCCATTTAGGCTCCCTCCTTAGAAACGAAATGATGAGAGAACTAGGCTCCTAGTGATGGAGTTAAGATGCAGAAAGGTATAGGGCTTGACAGCACTGCCAAACTCTCAATTCACCTGGCCAAGGATCTGTCCACCCTCCTCCCAGCCTCAAGGAAAAGGGTCAGCAGGGGGCAAGTGGTATGTGGCGTCCAGAAAGATGACGAGGGTTCCAACGCTTGTGAAGATGATGAAGGTCCATAGGAAGAGGCGGTCCACTACCATGGCCACAAATTGCCAGTCCTCCTTCAGCTGGGGTTAGGCAGAGGAAACTGTTCCTGAGTCCGGACCCCCAGGAAAGGCTGCCCCAAGGCCCTGTACCCCATCCAGGTCCTCCCACCACAGCTTTGAGACAAGGGCCGGCCTCAGAATAGCAGAGAGCCACCACAGGTGATGGATGTGAATCAAGAACAAGTAAGAAAGTAAAGACAGGATCAAGTGAGGCAAACTTCCACTCAGAAATAAAACCGAGGGACTTCCCCGCTGGTCCAGTGGCTAAGACACCACGCTCCCAATGCAAGGGGCCCGGGTTCAAGCCCTGGTCAGGGAACTAAATCCCACATGCCACAACCAAAGATCCTATATGTTACAACTGCTGCTGCTGCTGCTAAGTCGCTTCAGTCGTGTCCGACTCTGCAGCCCCATAGAAGACAGCCCACCGGGCTCCCCCATCCCTGGGATTCTCCAGGCAAGAGTACTGGAGTGGGTTGCCATTGCCTTCTCCGATATGCCACAACTAAGACCCGACATAGCCAAATAAATAATTAAAAAAATAAAAATAAAACCGAATGCTGGGGGCGGAGCCTGAGTTTGCGGGTGGAGCCAAGGCCACCCAGGCCTTGCCCTGGTCCACCCTCAGTGGACATACCGCGTCATGGTCCTCCTGTTCCTGCAGCTGTCGAGCGATGTAGCTGATCGAAGAAACGACCTCCCGTAGCTCAGGAGGGAGACCCACAGCCCGGTTTGGACCATCGATAAATCGCCGCAGGTCCGGAGCAGACAGTTCAGGCTGGAACCTGGAAGAGGCGGGACTGTTTGGCCACGCCCAAGGAGCAAAGACAGCCTGGGCGGGTGCTCTAGCCCCTGCCCCAATTCCCTCCTCCAACGCAAGTCCGGGTTTCAAAACCCTGAGAGGGTCCCTCAGGTTCTCGCCGATGGCGTCGACCTGTCTAACCTGCAATTTTTTCTAAGCTCTTTGGCTTTTTACTTCCCACCTCTCCACAAAGTGGGCAACAGAAGGGGTACTACAACTCCCATGATGCTCAACCACAACCTCCGGGAGCTTAGGCCACCTGCCACCACACAGTCTTCTGGGAATTGTAGTTGTCCCTCTCCCTTTTATGTGGGCGATGGAGAGTAGGTATTACCTGTTGGGTTTGGGGAAGAGAAAATCATTTGGTGGCTTGCGGATGAAATATTCATCTGTTCCCCGGCCCCAGCCACTTCCTGGAGAATCCCTGAGAGCTATGGAAGGTGGCTCCAGCATCTGATGTCTCTCAGGTTTGGGCCTCTTCAGACCCAAGTACAGAGGGAGTTTGTGGATGAAGATCTGCAGATGAACAGGTGTGTTGGCGGGGGTTCTCAGGCCTTGAGACCAGAAGAGAAGCCGCAAACCACTTCCCTGGCACGTGCCCACTCCTGCCAAGCGTGCCTGAGTCCCACAGGGCCCAGTTCTTAAGTGGGTTAGGAGACATCCTGACTGGAAAGAAAAGTTCTAAGGGCTCCCACCCTGATAGTACCTAGACCTTGGAATGCTTCCATGGGACCCACCCCACAAAGGGCAGTATTGATGAAGAGAGTCTGGAATCCAGGCAGCGTGAGGATAAAATTAATTGTGCAACATTTCAACACCCAAAGACCCTGGCACTTGGACATTCTACCAGGAGTTGAAGTTGTAGTCTTTCTCAAGTCTGTGAAAGGGAAGGTTGAAGCTGATGGGAGAGAGGAGCAAAGCCTGGACAAAAATCCAAATACTAGGATTGAGAGTTAACACAGGTTGAAGGAGGAGGTCTTCTTACCTGACGAACCCAAAGGGGCATTTCGTGGGTGTGGGGTGAGCGATGGTGCAAGTTGAGGACCACAACACTAAGGATGACTGAGAAGGTGACGAGGACCATGGTAAACATGAGGTACTTGATAATGATGGGGACAGACAGGGAGGTCTCAGGTACTTTGTCTGCCAGCAGCAGCAGGAACACAGTGAGGGTTAACAGGGCAAAGATGGAGAGCCCCATCTTCTCTCCTTGGGGGACAGAAGGGAAGGTGGAAGAGTTAGGCTTTGCCAGAAGATCTCCCTGACATAATCAGTGACCATGTTTCCAGCCCACTCAGACAGGGTTTTGGAAGGGCCAACTGCAAGCAAATGACTCCTGCATTTAAGCCTCCAACCTGGACTGATTCCCCTAAATTCCACGCTTGCCTTCTTAACCCCTCCATTTGGGTGTCCAACCAACATCTCAGACTTAACATGTCCAGTACTTAATTCCCTCACTGCCAACTCTCCCCACAGTCTTCTACATTTCATAAATGACAACTCCATCTTTCCTGTGGCTCAAGCCAAATCCTTTGAGTCATTTTCTGCTCTTGTCCCTCTCATCCCATATCCAATCCATACCAAACCTTATTGGTACAAGTCACCATTACCTCGGGTCTGAGTTTTTATAAAGGCCTCCTCTTTGCTTCATCCTTGCCCCCTGCTGACTGTTCTCAACAGAGCATCCAGACGGATCCCTTTAAGATGTAAACCAGATCATAACACTCCAGTAGCTTCCCATCTCCTTTAGAATAAAAGCCAAAGTCCTTACTGCAGCAAGGTCTTCCCATGAACTCTCTGACTTCATCTCCTACTGTTTTCTCTCTTACTAACTTGATTCAGTTACATTGGCTATTTCTTGAATATGCAAGGCATACTCCCACCTCAGGGTCTTCACATTCACTGTTAACTCCTCCTGGTAATTTCCTCCCTCAGATATCTACCACGGTCATTCTCTCACTTCCTTCAAGTTTTTGTTCTAATATTGATCAGATATCCCCTTTTTAGCGAGACATTCACTGACCAGCCTATTTTTAAATTGCAACCCCTGTGATAAACCATAATGAAAAGAATATGAAAAAGAATATACATATGTATAACTGAGTCACTTTGCTGTACAACAGAAATTAAACACAACATTGTAAATCAACTATACTTCAATAAAATTTTTTAAATAAATAAATAAATTGCATCCCATACTCCCATCCTCATCCTCCCCAAACCCTTCTCCTACTTCATTTTTCTTCTTAGGACTTGACCTCTTTTCTTCTTTTTCTTTTTTTATATTTATTAATTTGGGTGCACTGGGTTTTAGTTGCAGCATGAATGATCTTTGATCTTTGCTGTGGCATGTGGAAATCTTTAGTTGCACCATGAGGGATCTTTAGTTGTGGAATGCGAACTCTTATTTGCAGCATGTGGGATCTAGTTCCCCAACCAAGTATCAAACCTGGGCCCCCTACACTGAGAGGTCAGAATCTTAGCTTCTGGACCACCAGGGCAGTCCTTTGACCTCTTCCACTATACTGTTTAATGGATTTATTTATTATGCTTAGACTGTCTCCTCCACTAAAATGTAAATTCCATGAGAGTAGGGATTTTTGTCTGTTTTATTCACTGATGTATTCCCAGTGTCTTGCACATTACAGATACTCAACAAATATTGTTGCATGAATTAATAGACAACCCCTGTAGCACAAACTATATAGCAAATTGAAGGATCTAAAAATATATAAGAATATGCCAGGTGGCTGGTTATTCCTGTGACATACAACAGGTACTGCGAACTTCAGGGAAGGTATTGAAATAAATAACATTTGTGGTCTGTTCTAGTTTAGTTCTATAATATTGGTTTCCAAGATTTGCCTTGCTCCAAGAAGAAGGAGAAGTTACATGTGAAAGTGTTTCTAGAGCTTCATCACTCTCCTTCCCTTCGAGAGGACTTGATTCCAGAGAGAAGGAAAGCATGTGTTTTTTGTTTGCTGTTTTTGGGGCCACAGCAGTGAAAGCCCAGAATCTTAACCACTAGGCCACCAGAGAACTCCCGGGAAAAGCATGTTTTGAATACCAGAGTTTAGGACATCAGTCTCTGAATCAGAGTGGCACTAACCAGGGTTGGAATAGTGACACCGCCTCTCTCTATATAAGGTCAGCTGAATGACAAACTCTCCTAGCCTCTTTATCCTCCTCTGTGAAACAGGAAGACAATTCAGCACCTACCTCACAGAGTTGTGAAGATTAGAATTGAGTTAATATATGAATCCCATGGACAGAGGAGCCTGGACAGGTGGGCTACAGTCCATAGGGTCACAAAGAGTCAAACACAACTGAGGTGATTTTGCACACATGCACACATGTAACATATTATTTGTATTATCTCATAGCAAGTGCTCAAAATTAGCATATTACATACACTTACACAAAGTTTACAGAGTACCCTGCATAGTTCTCTTAACTCAGTTAATCCTCAAAATAGTCCTACGTGATAGGGACAGTGGGTGTCCTATTTCCAGATCAGGACACTAAGAGATTAAGGAAGTTGCCTGAGGTTACTCCGTTAGCACTTTGTGCTGTATCCCAGAGAACTGTTGGATATTATTTTCTAGGGAGATGGGAGGTTAAGGGACTAGTAGGCATCTGACAAGTGAGGGGACAGAGGATGCCAAGAATGGGGAAAAGGAAAGGAACAGTTATCTAAGCCTGGGAGCTTGCAGGTCAGAGGATTGGCAGTTCCAGGGATGAGATCCTAGGATTCTGAAGGGAAGAGTTCAGAAGTTACTGGGTGCAGAGAAATGAGCAGCAGAGGGGAGATAGCACTTGAAGTTGGAGGGGAAACCTGAATGCAGATGCAAAGGCTCTTCCTGAAGGGAAAACCTGGGTAAGATTGCTGAAGCACAACTCCTGATGGCCTGAGTTGGCAGGAAAACCTTCTCTGTATTATGGGTGAAGAGGAAGAAGCTGAGCTATTGGTAAGTAAGAGAGCTGGGGCTCCTCCCCCCCTTACCTGCATCTGGTGGCAGGTAGAAGACGAAGATGGCCAGGAGAGTGATGAGGATGCATGGGGCAATGACGTTGACCAGGTAAAAGAGAGGCTTCCGGCGAATGATGAGGTAGAAGGTGACTTCTTCACGTCGTCCTTCCCCGCCTCCCCTAGGATCCACTGGAGGCTGGATTAGCCGAGAAGGCTTGTGGATAATCTCCCATTGGCCATTCTCTTGGTGGGGTGAGGGGGGAGAAGAGAGGTGACAGATATGGGACATGTCTTTGTTGGTGCCAGATATGGCTTTTTTTTTCTTTCTTTTTCTTTTGGCTGCTCCATGCTGCTTGTGGGATCTTTGTTCCCCAGCAAGGGATTGAACCTGGTCCCTCAGCAGTGAAATCACAGAGTCCTAACTACTAGACTGCCAGGGAATTCCCAGATATGGCTTTCTCCACCACATCCTAGAGCAGAGGAGACCGATATAATAAAGGGCAATAAGAGGCTAGCTATAGACCCTGGGCTGGACAGCCCATCTCTATTTAAATGAGTCTCAATTTCCATACCCACAAAATATAGATAGCTATATCTATCTTGCTGACCTCACAGGGACTCATTGATGGAGTATGTTTATCAGCCTGTTAAAAACTGGAAATCATAAAGCCCATGGACGTGGGAGTCATGTCCACTCACCAATAAAGGTCCCTTCATGAATATACACTTCCTGCCGCTCCTGTCCCTCAGGACTCAAGCCAGTTTGCAGGCTGACCTCTGAGCTGTCATAGCTATAGGAACTGAATACCATGGTGCAGTTCTGCCAGTCAAAAGGGAAGTAGGTGACCTGGATGGAATGGAGAGTCACTAGAGCTGCCAGAGAGCTGGCTGGGGTTGGGGGAGTTGGGGAGGTCACAGGGCAGACAGGGGTCAGAGGATACGGCCCCTCAGGAGCTAGAGACCACCAAGGGAGATCACCTAGAAGTGGAGTCATAGAGAAATCAGAAGGTTGTTTGGGGAGGCCATGGACATTGGAGGAAGGGTTAAGGAAGACTGGAAGTCAATGAAAGTGGACAGAGAAGAGGAAACTCAACGGAGGGTAAGAGGGATGTGAAAGTCATGAGGATAATGGAGGAGTAGGTCTGAGGGAGGGTTTCTACGAGCTCTTTGAGCTTCCCAGGTGGAGCCGGGAGACCTGGATGCTGCAACTGCTGCGATAGATGCCCGGGGGCTGCCAGCGCACGGAGCCGTCGGAGGACACCACGACGTTGATGTCCAGAGCAACATCAAAATTTCCGTCGTTACTGCAGGAAAAGAATAAAATCAACTCGGATCAGGCCCCGCCCTCCGGAGGCCGCGCCTCTCCGGAGGCCCTGCCCGGTCTCCCAGACTTTGGGAACATCCTACTTGTTTAGGAGCACCACGTCGGGTAGCCACACGGATTCCGCTGAGATGCGGAGTGAATCGATGCCCTCGTGCTCCTCAGGGTCCCAGCTGAGCCTGTAGTCAGTCCATTCCTAGGGAGGCAGAGGCTGAGGGGCCGTCTGGGGTTGGAGGCTGGGAGGAGCCTTGGGATGTGCGCAGGAAGCCCGGGCAGGGAATGCAAGGGAGGAGAGCCGCGCAGGCATGGGCTGTGGTTCTGGAGGCCTGGGCTCTGATTTCGGTTCAACGTTCACTCTTTGGGACCCCATCAACTAGTTTTCCTTCCCTCGCATCGGGCTCAGTTTTTCCATTTTGTAAAAACGAGGGGGTTGACGAGCTAATCTCTAAAACAGTGATTTTCAAACCGCAATTAGCGACCCTTTTAATGGGTCAGGAATCACATGAGTGGCCCCAAACCAGGGTTTAAATTCTTTTCTGAAGCTTCTGTTTCAGTTATAAATGTATTTTCTGAGGTCATGATGCAAAAAAAAAAAAGAAAAATTCTTATTGGGCGGGACATTCGAGGAAATTGTAAAGGCAGTGATCCCTGTGAGATGAGGTTTCCCACCCTGTGGGGGTCTCCGTACCAGGTCTAAGTAGACTTTTGTGCTCATCTCCTCATCCTTCTCGTTCTAGAAGGGAAAAGTTTTAAGGGTAGATATGATGTCTCAGAGGTTAAAGCGTCTGCCTGCAATGCGGGAGACCTGGGTTCGATCCCTGGGTCGGGAAGATCCCCTGGAGAAGGAAATGGCAACCCACTCCAGTATTCTTGCCTGGAGAATCCCATGGACAGAGGAGCCTGGTAGGCTACAGTCCATGGGGTCGCAAAGAGTCGGACACGACTGAGCGACTTCTCTCACTCACTCATGATGCTAAGTGTAGAGAAATAAGGGGCTCGGTAGGTAAAACTCCCCCTGGAAACTCCCTTCTTTTTCCGAGTCGCACCCTCTTGGGTTCAAGCCCCATCTCCTATAAGCTGCGTGGATTTAAACCCGGCTTCTATCTCGCAAATTTCCTGCGGTCCTTAAGGCCAGCCAATTCATTTACCAGTCCCGACCCGGACCAGACTGAAGCTCCATCTGCTGTTTATTAACTCTGTCCAGCATCAAGCTCCGCCCCAGCCTGTGACCCCGCCTCAGGACCCGCCCTCCGGCCGGTCCAGCGGCCCCCAGCTCCACTTCAAGATCCGCCCACAGGCCTATTCATCGTCTTACCCGGCTCTACCCCGGCCGGTCCAGCAGCCACGCCCACAGCCTGTCCATTGGTCCGGTTTCGACCCCACCTGCTCTAATACCCCGTCAGTCTCCTAGTCTGGCTTCGCCCCGGACCCCTCCCCCAGTGGTCCCTGGGTCCCGCTGTGCCTAAAGCCACGCCCCTAGTCGCCTAGTGGGCCGGACGCAACTCCCCGCGTGCGCCCTCACCAGGCTGATGAGTTGCGCCAGGGTGAGACCAATGCTGACCCAGACACGGTCTCCCACCTCCTGCGCCGGCCGCACCGTACTATCATAGCCTGAGAAAAGTTTCTCGCGGAGTCGGCCCTCCGCCTCCGAGCCGCGGGCGCCTGGAGGAGGAAAGAACTGAATGAAGCCTTGGTGCCCGGCCACGACCTCTGGCCCTATCGCTGCCCCTTTGAGGCCCACACTTACCCGGGGCGAGCTGCGCCCCCAGCACCCCCAACAGGAGCAGAAGCAGCGCCCCTGGTGTCATAGTCCGGCCGCGTCTCTCAGTGAGTCCGCTGGGTGAGTCGCCAGGACAGCCAGCGCAGGGGAAGTGACGAGGCGCCCAGGAATGTGCACCTGTTATTGGGGGGCAGCCGCCAGCCCACCCGCCCCGCCCCTGGGACTTGATCCCGCCCCGAGCAACTGCCAAAGCCTGCCACCCACAGATGACAGACAACACTTCAGTTGTATAAATCGTCTTTAATTGAGAAAGCGTGGAGCAGAGACCTGGTTCCCTGGGAGCAGAGCCAGGAGATGGGCGGAGCCTGAGCGGGGTCTGTGTGGGTGAGGGGAGCATCCACCCCTCTTAGGACAAGCCAGAAGTAAAAAAGAGCCTGAGGAAACACAGCCTGCTTCTGAGCCCTAGTCTTCCCCCCCCCCCCCACTTTAGTGCCTCCTCAGTCTACTCTGCCCAAGTCTGTCACCACCCAGAGTATCCCTCCCAGTTCACTGATGGGCTTCTGATCTTTTTCAGGCCTGCCCCGAGCTCTCTGCATTTTTTCAGAAAAATCTAGTCAGGCCCTTTTGGGGTACCTAAAACCCAGCTGTTATAAGCTCTAAGGTAAAGCAAGTTTTATTCAGTTAGAAGCTTGTGGGGGTGTATGAGGTTTAGAACCCAAGAGACCCTCACCCTCCTTAGCCTGATCTGTAGGGGAGAAGGGTGGGGCTTATTGCTGAACTGAAGTCTCCTCATTGTGGGTAGGTGGGAGTCAAGGCTATGTCGCATTTGTCTTTTTTATTCCAGACCTATTACCCTAAAGACCTCAGCGTTAAAGGGGACCTGGAAGGAATTCCTGCTGAGGTAGCTACGTGTTCATGTCCCCTCAACCCAGGCACAGGTCCAATCATGCCATGGTTCTGGTCCCTTCCCCATCCTAGCTGCCCTACTATGAGCCAGGGATTCCTTCCAAAACTCCTTTGCCCTTCCTCAGACTCTGTTTCCCGACAGGACCCCAGCTGAGCTGCAGGAACTAGAAACTGCATGTAAAAATAAGGTTAGCATTCTACAGGAAGACTAAGAGTTTTAGAAAATTATCTAGGAAAAACAAGAAGTGGTTCTTGATCCATCTGGAACTTAGTTTTTTGTGAATCATAGCTGGGTCCTTTCTAGAGCTCATGCTTAACAGGTATCACTAGAGAAGGTGGGAGCGTGGTCTAGAACTTACTCTAGAGCAATAATATGGCTATATAGGCCCTCGCTCCATCCTGAAGGGAAGGACTGAGAGCCCTGGTCTATGTACTAGAGCTAAGATTCAGAAGGAAGTATGGCTCCGTATATGTCTAGAACACCATGCTCTAGAATTGGGTGTCTCTGGGATAAGAAAGTTCAAACTGTGGTGATCTAAGACTGGTCCCAGTTCAGGCCAAGGCCAACAGCTGGACAGGGCTCAAATCCAGCCTCTCTCTACTTTGAAGTCAGGGGTCCATCTGGGTCAAGGACAGAAGCCTGATGGATCCAGAACAGAGCCTGGCAGCATGCCTGTGTTCCAGCACAGAGCCTGAGTGCAGAAGTGGTCCTGGCTAGGGTGCCTTGTGTTCCGGAACCTGGAGCAAGGCAGAAAGTGGAGTAGACAAAGAAGGAAGGATCCTGAGCGCCAGTGGACCCACAGATCTATGGCTCAGTGGTAATGAAAAGGTCAAAGGGCTCCAGGAACTGGCTGAGCCTGGTATGGGGAGGATTTATGCCCTGGTTCTGTCAGTTCTGGAACCCCCAGCGCCATCTCAGAAAAAGGCTTTGGAGGGTGTGAGCATGGAAGGAAAGAAGTGATCAGCCAGGACCATTTCCAGACATCTTCCTCTCTGACTCCCCACCCTGGGCCTAAGAGTCTGGGGGTCTCAGCAGGCCCAGAAGTCACAGTGGCCCCTAGGCTCCCTCGGGGCAGAGCACCTGGTGGGACCTGGCTGCACAGGGCATGTGTGTGGCAGCGGCGGTGAGAGCAGGGCCAGGAGCAGGGCTGGGAGGCAGGCTGTGGTGGTGGCTGGCTCCGTGCGAGTGCAGGGAGCCTCCAGTCCAGGGATGACATTTCAGGGGGCAGGGGGACTGGAAGGGGAGGTCTCAGGGACACTGTGGAGAGAAGGCTCCCGGTACATGGCCACTGTGAAGGGGGGAGAGAGGAGCAGGAAGGAGAGTTAGGCACCCAGAGAGCTCTGAATAGGCTCCCTTCCCCTCCATGCAGCCTCTGGGAACCCCAACCCACAAAAGATCTCCCCCAATCCCTCAAGGCCAAAGTCTTCCTGACTTGGCCTGTCATAACAGGTGTCTTCTTAAAACACTTACAACCCCTGAGCTGTATGTCATTTAATGTCCATGTCAAGGTCAATACCCTCCCATGTGGCCTGCCTCTTCCCAGAGGGTCCATACTCACCCTCCAGGAGCTTGGGCACAAAGTGGGCAGCTGCCTTGGTCTTCTTGACTCGATTTCCCTTCATGACTCGGCCCTCCTTATCCAGGCCCAGGTACCAGGCCCGTCCAGAACGGCGCTGGCGATAGAGAGCAGAGGCGTACAGGACATAGTAATTCTCAAAGACGCACTCCTTAAAGCGACACTCAGCTGTGAAATGCGGCTGAGGAGACAAAGACCCAGAAAGGCACACACAGACAGACAAAGACACATCACTGGACTGGAAGGGAGCCCCGGGAAGAACAAGGCAGGATGCAATCAATACATCTGAGGCGAGGAGAACCAACTGCTGAGTCCATGCAGGAACTGGGACAAAGGAGGGTGAGAAAGAAACTGCTGGCCCCCAAAGGCCAAGAACTAGACTTCTGGGGGGCTGGAATAAGAAGATACATTCTCTCTACTCTACTCCCAACCTCTCACCATCCAGGGGACCTGGAGGAAATTCCTGCTTGGAGGAATTCCAGAATCCTTTCCCAATATCCCAGATGACTCTGGGATAGTGAGTAATAATGAAGTCTCGAGGAGGTAGGAGGAGACACAGGGATCCTAAGAGGCTGAAGGAGTTGGACGCTCAAAGAGCCTGGGGGCATGTGGGGGGCTGTTCGAAGAGGAGAGATTAAAGGGACTCTAGAGTAGGTGCTCCCAAGCAGGCAATGAGGACAGGGTGTTGGCAAGAGCTGGAGGGAGAGGGAGCCCTGAGCTGCAAAATACCTGTAGTTGGGAAGTCTGTCCTAGAGGAGTCCCCAGACCCCAGGCCACTCCACCCCCTTGTCTCACCGAGCTGTAGAGCAGCCCCTCAGCATTCATGGCCATGTAGTGACCCAGCTTGGCACTCTGGATGGTGACTACTCGCAGCCCCACAGGGATCAGGTTGAAGTGGGCTGGAGGTAGAGAGAGGGAGCATCAGTACCCCAGGCCTCCAACTCCTATCTGGGCGCGCACACACACACACACACACACACACTCATTCCAGTTCCAGCTCTTCCCTTGGGAGTCAAAGAGCCAATGGATCTTGAAGCAGGAATAGGATTATCATGGCCTGTGCCCACTCTCCCCCTTCCCACCAGGCAGCTGGCTTCCCCTCTCACTGAAAGAGCTGGTGTCCTCTGGGGTGCCCTGGATGCTCCCGTCGGGATTCGCCTGGAGGTAGAAACCCTGGCGGCAGAACAGTTTGGTGACGATGCCTTTGAGCTGAGGTTCTGGAGAGAGAGATATTCATCTTGGAACATGACATCTCTGTTCCCAGAAACATTCCTACACTTGGCGGGGATCAGAGGAGAGAAAGAAAAAGAGAATGGAGAGAAGGAAGAGGGTCGGTCCGAGGGCCCTCCCAGCAAGCTCTTTCCCACCTCTCTGAGACGCCAGAGGAAGCTGGGGGGTGGGTCCCTTCTGCTGCCTCTAACCAGCTTTCAGTTTAATTTATTGAAATTTATTTAAAGGCTTAATTCCTACCCTACAGCTCAACCAGAAGGGGGGGAGGGGAGAAGAGGGAAGAGGAGGGCAGAGAAACATGGAAAGGCAGAGGACAGAGGGAGACCGGCAGGCCTGCTGAAAGGGCAGTGTGTGTGCGAGTGTGGGGGCAGTAAGGTGACCACAGGGTAGGGGCGCCTCCTCAGGGATGGGGGTGGGACTGGGTCTGACGCTGACTCAGCACCTGCTGCTGCGGCTGCCGCTTGCTTGGCGCGGGCCTCCCCTTGGCCCAGCGCCGGCCTGTCTGACACTGACCCATCTGTCTGTCTGTCTGTCTGTCTGTCTGTCAGTCAGTCTACTGGCTCGCGGGGGCCCAGCCCTCCTTGAGGCTCAGCCTCTCCCCTTCAGCCAGGTAACCCACCTGGGATGGGGGACATTCGGTACCACACCAAGGAACTGGGGGAGGGGGCCGGGGAGCTGGTGAGGCAGGCTGAGTCACGTGGGGACCGGGTCCCACTCAAAGGGTGGGCTGCGGACCGTACCACTACGGAGGGCCCCGGCGGAGAGGGGGAGAAGGACGCCGCTGGGGGGGCGGTCTCTCCCTAGGGGAGCTGGGAGCGGGGGAGAGAGAGGCAGAGGGACTCCCTGACTGTCGCACCTGGACGGGGACCACACGCCAACCCTCACAACTCTCGTCCCCCGAGGCTTGCTCCCGGCCGACTTCCCGGTACCCCCTCGTAGTGGTACGACCCTCAGTCTCCGTGCGGGTCTCCAGCCATGTACTGTGTCTGAGTTCCTCATAGCAGAGGGTCCCCTGAGCCCGTGAGGCCCGATTTCGGAGTCGCGTAGGGGGTCACCGGGGGGTGTCCAGCTCCTTTCTTGGAGCGCAGGTCACGGGAGGAGGGCGCACAGAGGGGCGGGCTGGAGAGGTAGCTGCAAGGACACCGGGGGGAGAGCTGGGGAGATTGGCGCCGAGCCAGGCAAGCTCGGCCAAGGAGGAACTGAGCCAAAGCTCGGAGAAGCGGGAGCACCGGGGCGGGGGCGGGGCTGCCGGAGCCGCAGAAACCCTCGGGGTGACCGAGGCGTCCGGAACCCCCAGGCCCCTCCACTCGGGATTGAAAGAATCGCGAGAGCCGGCACGTAGGCGGAGGATGGTGGGGGTGGGGACTCGTGTTGGGGGTGGGGGGCGGCGAGCGGGAGCTGCCAAGCTTCGGGGCACCCGGCTTAGCCCCTCATGCCTTCCCCTTGTCCTCGAAAGCAAGGAGACTCGGGGTTACGGGCGAAAGAGAAGGGAAACTGAGGCATCGTCTGGCTGAGAGTTGGTGGCCCGGGCCCACCCCCTTTCATTTTCGGGGAGCTCCCCCACTTCGGTCAGGCCCCGCTCTTCGGGAGTCCCTGGCCTCAACCTCCCAGGCAGAGAGACCCCAGGCCCGGAGACCCCCGCCCCAACCACTCACCCGGGCCGCGGTCTGTCCGCGCGGGCCGCCCCCCGCACAGTCGCACCTTGGACAGCAGGATGAGCAGCTGCTTCTGGCAAAGGGACTTGGTGCCGCGGGGACACACGCGCCGCTGCGCCGACACGGGCCGGCTGCCCCCGGGCTCGCGGACCTCCCGCTTCTGCCGGATCAGGCTACTGGCCAGTGCCGCCATGGCGCCCCGGGAGGAGACACCCCCAAACCGGCAGGCGCCTGGAGCGCGCTGAGCACCCCCTCCCCCAGAGAAGCCCGCTCGCTCACCAGGACATGCTCTGGACGCTCCGGTCCCGATTCATTGCCCTACCCGCAGGACCTGAGGATAAACCCTAGAGGACCCCCACCCGAGGCGCCAGCTCCCACCCTTGGGTCTCCCACTAGCTTCGTGGGATCCAGCAGCCTATGTACCTCTCAATGGACCCCACCCTCGACTTTTGCCCCCTACAGAAAACTCTTCCCTTTTCTAGTCTCCAGTGTCCCTGTCCCCCAGTAACCTTATCCCAAATGCAAGACCCTCAGATTTTCCAAGATGTGGTTCCAATATCCCCAGGCACCTTTCCACCCTATTTCCAGGCCCCCGTGTTCCTGACAAAGCCACTCTTATAATCTTAAGGGTGTGGGTCCTTAGCTTTGGAGATATTAGCTCACCCCACTCCTGCTGGGGTGCTGCCAATGTCAGTGAAGAACCCAACCTTAGTGCCTTTTCCTTTGCCACTCTCTAAGTGAAGAATCCCCCTCTTTTTTCACTGAAATCCCCCCAAAACTATGTCTCGAGATATTCAGACTGTCCCCATTCAGCAAGCAGAGGTTCCCAGACCCTGCCTCTGGACAATACCAGCATTTACCAAGTCACCCCCATTTCTAGTGGCAGAGAGTTCCAGGTGCTGAGCCCCTTTCCTCACCTTGTTACCCTCCACTCCTTTTGAAGTCACCTCCAAATCCGCCCTTCCTAGTGGTTACACCAGGTGGTTGTCTGGAGGGCCCTCTGTCACCTCGGAATAAGGAGCATAGGTTTTTGGGGTTTGGGTGTTTTTTTTCCTGGCAGCCCCTTAATTTCCTCGGGGACAGCTGGTACTGTTTAGATCCCACGCCCTCCAATCCAACCAGACCCCCAAGAGAGGAGTGCACCCACGGTGTCACGGGCCCCCAAATGTGAACAGACCCCCTATAAGTCAGAGCGCATCCCAGCTTTCTGCGACAGGGCTTCCTCTTCCTCCCGGGGACTACCTACAGCACCCCCTCTTCCTTCCCCGACGCCCCTCAACCTGTCCTGTCTTGTCAATCCGGCGACGGCTGGCGCTGGCTCCGGATCCAGGCTCCTCCCTCCCTGTACCCCGCAAACGGGGCTTCCCCCCAAGCCCGGCTAGGCGTCCCAGACCCCAGGAAGGAATGAGGGTGTCTCCGCAGAGCGCCCTGGTCCGGCGAAGTGAGCCCTGGGCCTGGCGGCTGGACAGAGCGCAGCGGCGGCAGCGGCGGCAGCGGTAGCGGCGGTGGGAAGCTGAGGCGGCGGCGGCGGCGGCGACAGCAGCTCCCCCTCCTCGGAGAGCCGGCCCGGGGGCGGGGCAGGGGGCGGAGACGCCGGGAAAGGCGGGGGGTGGGGTTGGGGGGGGAAGCTGGGCGGGCGGAACCCCGGGGTTCCTTGGAGGCAGGGAGTGGGGACGGTCTTAGAGGCAGCCGGAGCCGCCTGTCTCGCGGTTCAGAGGAGGAGGGACAAGTAGGCGACTCCACAGAAGGCAAATATTCACAAGGGGAGAGCTTGGGCTTAGGTAGATGGAATGGTGGACGCCTTGAGAATGGAGAAAGGGACCCTACTGGGGGGAGTAACTGAAAAGATAGAGGTGGCGGCGAGGACTAGCCTGGGGTTAAATCCCGCCTCCTTACTATCTCTGCCTTTGTGTGAACCAAATTGGTCAGTCCCTGGTCTCCATACCTCCCCTTTTCACGTCTTCTTTCATCAAATATATTACCCTTATTGACCCCTAAGAGAAAAGACCATAAGCGCTGGGGGGAGATGGATGCCAGAGGTTGCACCAGGGCAAGAAGGGTGCTGGCCACAGATGTGTAACGTGGAGAGGCCGGACTGGAACGACCTGTGCCAGGGATGGTGCGAGAGGAAGGTGGGAGGATGGGGAGGAACCAGCCAGGAGGCCTTCTAGAACGCGGGTTCTTCGGGCCCAAGGGGTTCAGCCTGTCTCCCAGGTGAAGGGAGAGCAGTCCCCTCCACACCCCGCTGGCCAACAGAAGCACTTTCCACGTTAGTACGAACAGCGTTTTTAATGGGACCCGGCTCCCACGCCGGCTAAGCCACCCCCCTTACGCGCAGCCTTGGCCTCCTCCACAGCGGAGCGCAGGGCCCGAGCAGGGTCCCCGCGAAGCATGGCCAACGCCCCGAGCAGCGAATTGGCGCCGTCCCCCGCACGGAGCTTTTGGCCACTCAGAAAATAGTGGGGCAGCGTCCCTGCCTCGAGCACTCGGCCCAGTTCATCCAGCAGCCCGAGGCAGCAGGCGCCCGCATTCTCGGGTCGCGCCAGATAGAGTGCTGGCAGCCGCTCGCACGCCCAGTAGAGCAACGTCCGCAGGAGGTAGGGCGCCGTGGCCCGGGTCCCCGCCACCAGCGGGCGCAGGAGCGCCTGGGCCGCCGCGTGCGCTTGCAGCAGCGGAGCGGGTATGCGCGCCTTGAGCGCCAGCTCCTGGCGGGCGAAGCAGAGCTGCCAGCCGGAGGCGCCCGGCCGCTCGGTTCGGCCGCCGCCGCCGGGCACCAGATAGAAGGAGGACGACTCCGAGGCCAGCGGGCCGGCCCACGAGTGGCTCCGAGCCCCCTGGGGCCAGCCGGCCACAGATACCACGGGGATCAGGTCGAAAAGCAGGAGGCGGCGCGGGGGCCCGGGCGTAGCCAGGAGGATGGTAGTGAACCCTGCGTGGCGGGCTGCGTGGACCAAGCGCGGGGCACCCGGGACCGGGAACAGGGACTCAGCGACCGCAGCCAGCGAAGTAAAGAACCAAGCAGCCACCTGGGCGGGGCACAGTGTGGGCCATGCCTCCCGAGCCTCCGACGGCTGTGGCCCTGGGCTAACATCGGCTGCTTTGGTGACGTCATCATTTGTTTCTTCCGATGGTGAGGGAAAATCAATATCGGTTAGGTTTTGCTGGGATAACTCTGGCACTGAAACATTACTAGGTGATTTTCCCAAAGACTCGTGTGCCTCAGGCTCAGTGATGTCACCGTGTGGCTGGTCCACGGAGCTTTGCGGGTCCCGGGGACTTTCTCTGCTTTCAGTTGGGTGGATCCAATCACGTCCTCCTGGGACTGGGGGTCCTAGGCAATCCTGCCATGCTTCCCGGACCGAGGTTCCGGGTACCTGCTCTGGGAGGCAGAGCCATGCGTAACAGGATCTCATGTCCAGTTGCAGCTCCTGCCCAGTGCCATCTAGAGAAAACACGGGCACCAGGAGTGTGAAGCCGGCATCGTAGTGAGGTCCCCGAGTGTAGGGACCTAGAGGCACAGGCCCCAAATCCAGGGAGCCCTCTCGAATCCCACCACGAAGCAGCAGAAGCTCTGTCTGGGGAGGAAAACGAGGGTCCCTGCGGTGAATGAGACCTAAGGGAAGAGTAGGGATCGTGAAGGCATGATCCAGAGCCCAGGATGGGGTGGGGAGGAGCTGAGAGTGGCAAGAGGGTTACTTACCAAGCAAAGAGAACACAAAATCCTTGGCCTGGAGGAGATCTGGTCCTGGCTTGGGCCCATCACTCCAGCTCTCCTGCACACCCAGCTCCTGGATCAGCTGGGTTAGTTCTTGCAGCTGAGCTCCAGAGCAGAAGTCGATGTCTGTGAGTGGCCGGGCTGGGGCTGGGGGCGGTGGGCCCCACCAGGGAGCGTTCCCCCAGACTGCAGAAGCCATATGGCTCTATCGTTTGTGGGCTAGGAAATACACGTACAGGGGGAAGCCCAGAAGCGTTGTTCCTTCTGCTGTGGAAAACTCGCCCCTCTGTTCTTTTCTCTTCCTGAGATCGAGAGGGTACCCAAGACACAATCTGCCAATGGGTCTGCAGATGAAGGGCTCTAAATTTAGTCTTGAAAGCAAACAAATAAATACCTCCTCCGTCCTTGCCCTTTTCTCATATGCTAGTCCCCACCCCCATTGACCGATTCACCTGACTTAGCAGGTTAAAAGTGAGTTTGGCCCCTCCTACGGAATGCAATAGTCTCTTTCGCCACTCCCTGTCTACCTCCCCTTACCTCTTTTTCGGAAGAGGATAGTGGTTTGCGGCTTCCCTCTTAGGGGTAGCTGCAAGGTCTGAGAAGAAAATGGATAGGAAGATTCAACAGGTAACTTCTTCCTGCTGCTCACAAGGCTACGCCCCTACATTACAACCACGCCCCTTTCTGGAGGTGGTTCCGGACCTGCCCGGCCTCCAGTCAGAGTTCAGTCTCTCCTTTGGCTCTGCAGAGATCTCCTGGCTATCTTGGGAGTTGTAGTTTGGTCTTCCAAACTACCAGGGCATTAGGGCCACGCCCCCAGATCCTTTCCTGTTCCGTTGAAATAGTGCCTGATGGAAGTTGTAGTTTCTATGGAAATAATAGTGTGTCTTTCCAAGGCCAGGTCAATCGCAAACGTTCTTGGGCTTAGAACAGAGACGTTATAGGATGGATCCAAACAGCAAATGATAATGAGGCACATAGCCTAGGGCCTGAGGGAGTAGAGGTGCCCTGGTAACTTAAATCTAGAAGAGTCCTTGCATGCAATTACTTGCTAGCCTAGGAAGGTGCCACATGACTTGTCCAAGGTCAGTGCCAAGCAAGAGAGGTGTTGGAAAGGGGTTTCCCGACTGGGATGGATCTCTTTGGAATCAGTGGTGATAATGTTAGACAAGAACACGTAGGTAAAAAAAAAAAAAAAGAACACATAGGTAGTGATGACCCAGGGATGGACATCCAAAGTGACATATTAGTGATGGCCACCTCAGACACACGAATGGTATCAGGGCAAACACTTTGAAATTTTGAAGCTCAGGTGTGTATACAGAAAAGTTACCAGGGCTGAAAATCAAGTCCAGAGGAAACTCACAGGTGTGCTGGGGCAGGACAATGAGAAATTATCAGGGGAAGAAAATTGCTTTCAGCGACCTGTGCTATCATGGACACAGCTTAAGTCCGGGATGAAACTCGGAGCCAGAATAATAGGGCAGAAAGATAGGAAACCAGAGACAAGCTCACGGATTAGACCAGTGCATGCTGGACCAGGAATTCTTATATTCCTTTTTCCCAGGGGTCTGTCTCCACAGTGAACCAAGGCTAAGTCCATGGGCAAGAAAATGGGCAAGTGGAGACACTTAGAACAAATCAGAGGTCTGTTCAGCAATTCAACGGACATGAATTTGAGCAAACTCTGGGAGATAGTGAAGGACAGGGAAGCCTGGCATGATGTAGTCCATGGGGTCACAAAGAGTCAGACATGACTTTAGCGACTGAACAACAAAAGGAGAGGACCCTCAGAATCCGGGGCCCAATATGGGGAGCCTAAAATTCAGGGGTTCCTAGTCACTGACAAAGAGAGGTCTTCTCCCTCTGTTACCTAGAGCCCCAAACGCAGCCAAGAACCGGGAAGGCAAATTTCCATACAACAGATTGTGACCCAAGAGACCAGATCAGGAAAACTGAAGCCTGGGCTCTTTCTCACAGTCTGGGGAAATCAGGCGTTGGGCATTCATTCCTACATCTTAACCTCCTCCCTAGATGGTGGCTTCTGAACTACCCTAAAAAGAACTAAGTTCTCTGGGCCTCTTAAAGCTCCCTGAAAGTGAAAGTGACAGTTGCTCAGTTGTGTCTGACTCTTTGCGACCCTATGGACTATACAGTCCATGGAATTCTCCAGGCCAGAATACTGGAGTGGGTAGCCTTTCCCTTCTCCAGGGGATCTTCTCAACTTGGATCAAACCCAGGTCTCCCACATTGCAGGTGGATTCTTTACTACCTGAGCCACAAGGAAAGCCCATCTTAAAGCTCCTATGCTGTGGATGGCTGACAGGAAAACGAAAGTTACCCTGAACTCTAAAGCATTGCTCTCCAATAGCATTTTCTGTGATGGTGGAAATGTTCTAAATCTGTGCCGTCCAATACAGTAGCCAGTAGCTCCATGTGGCTATTGAGCACTTAGATCATGAGACTGAGGAACAGATTTTTTTTTGGCTGTGCTTTGCAGCTTTCAGGATCTTAGTACTCCTGACCAGGGATTGAAGCCCAGCCACATCTGTGAAAGCGCTGAATCCTAACCACTGGACCTCTAGAGAACTCCCTGAGAACACTTTTTAACTTTACTTAATTTTAACTCATTTACATTCTAATAGGCATATTTGGCTAGTGGCTACTGTAATGGAGAATGCAGCTCTAGGGCCTTGGGGATAACAGCTTAAGGTAAGACAGCAACAGCAGGAAAGCTGGAAGCTTCATTCCTTATCCCCCCCTGAGGGGTGGGGTTGGGGTGGATGGCCTCAAATAACCACAGAACACTTCTCTTGCCTTTTTATTCTTCATGCACATTTGTCCCCTCTTTTTCTAAGTTTCTCATCACACACTGATATCCCCACGCCTTGGCCATCTCTGGTGAGTTGTTGGATATCTCTCGGTGAAGGCGCCTGGGAGACAATGCTTCGCATTTGTCCCTGCCTGCTCCCAACTGTCTCTGGCGGGCGTCAAAGACCACATGCCCTACCCGGGTGCCTGACCCTGGGCAGTGGGGCTTCCAGTTGGTTTTGGGAGGCATAGACATCTGGCGATAGTTCTGGGAGGCTGCAAGAGCTATGTCCATGGGACGGTACACCCAGTCTTGGCTGCCTGCTCGCCGGGAGGGTGGTTGCAGCTCTATCAGCACAGGCACCTCTGAGAAGGTTTGTTGGTCATTGTAGACCACCTGGGCCTTGGCGGGGGAGGAGGTCTGGCTAGGTGGGACAGAAGGCCCTGGAATATGCTGCCCAGCATCATGCCTTCGAGGAATCTTCTCAGATATAAATGACTTTGGGGTCTGAAGTGGGCCCAAAACTTGGACACAGTCAGTTCCCAGCAGGTTCTTGTGGAGGACAGGATTGGGGACAAAGCCTGACCCCTTGATAAAGTCCTGAGTCTTCTGGGGGCCAGGATGTTGAGTAACTCCTGGGTACTTGTGGAGGTTAGGGTTGTGGCAATGTTCTGGGCTCCTGTAAACTCTAGCATCTTGGGGAACGTCACATCTTTTGACTTCAGTGACTTGGGTAAGGCCCAGATCCTTATGGAGGTCAGAATCTTGAGTAAGATCTTGGCTCCTGTAAACTCCAGAATCATGAGTAAGGCCTGGATTATTGTAGTCTCCTGAGTCCTTATAGAGGCCAGGGGTTTGCACAAAGCCTGGGTTCTTATGGGGACCGGATTCCTGGGTAAGGCCTGAGTTCTTGTTGATTCCAGAGTCTTGGACAAAGCATGGACTCTTCTGTGGTTCAGAATCTTGGGTAAAGCCTAGACTCCTAGAGACTCCTGGATGTTGGGCATTACCTGTACTCTTGTAACATCCAGCATCTTGAGAAGGGTGTGGGATACTATGGAGGCCAGTTTTTTGGGAGAGCTCTTGACTTCTATAGAGTACAGTCCCTTGGTTTTGTTCTAGATTTCTACAGACTCCAGAGTCATGCCTAAAGCCCGAGCTTCTCTGAATGTCAGAAGTTTGAAGAAATGGTGTGTTCTTGTGGATACCAGAAGGTTGGGTGAGATATGGGCTTCTAAGTAAACTTCCCTCTTGAGTAGAACTTAAACTCTGGGAGCAAGAATCTTGTGTAATGACTGAATCTTTGTGAAAGTCAGAGTCTTGGGAAAGGCTTGGATTCTTGCAGAGATAAGGGTCTTGGGTAAAGCCTGGGCTCTTGTGGAGGCCTGGGTTTTGAGCAAGGCCTGGGCTCTTGTGGAGGCCTGGGTCTTGGGTAAAGCCTGGGCTCTTGTGGAGGCCTGGATCTTGGGTAAAGCCAGGGCTCTTGTGGAGGCCTGGGTTTTGAGTAAGGCCTGGACTCTTGTGTGGGCCTGTGTCTTGGGTAAAGCCTGGACACCTGTGTAGGCCTGGATTTTGAGCAAGGCCTGGGCTCTTATGAAAGCCTGGGTCTTGAGTAAAGCCTGGGTTCATGTGAAGGTTTGGATTCGGGGTAAGCTCTGGCTTTCTGGAAGCTCTAGTGTCTTTTGAAGGGCCTGGGGTCCTCTGGAGACCATGGTCTTGGTTGAGGCCTAGATTCTCATGAAGTTCAGGGGGCTGGGGCTGGTTTGGGGTTTGGGAAGTAGTGGAGAACTGATGAGGGATGGGACCCTGGGAAGAGAGGACAGACTGAGGAGACTTGGAGGTTGGGGGAAATTTGGGGGTCTGTATTAAGGTGGAGGGCTTCTGGTGGTTGCTGTGTTGATGAAGAACAAAGGATCTGGGAGAAATGAGAGGCAGAGAAAGAGTGCAGGGTGGAGGCACAGTACCCACTGAGTTCTGGGCACAGGTTGGAACATGGAAGCAAGGTTGATAAGGTGTAGCATCTTTGGAGTACACCAGGAATTTGGGGTAGACTGGAGTCTGGGAGTCCATGTTTTGCTTCTCAGAACTGTAAGGGTGGAAACTGCAGTAAGGGAAGGTCTTGGGCTGCACAGATTCATCCTTGGGATCATTTGAAAGCTTCCATTCCATGTTCCCCAACTCCAGGTAACCCAATACGGATCCTGTGAAGGGCTTGGCACTGTCCTCACTACATTGCTTCAATGTTTGCTCAGCTGTACCAGAGCTCACCAGGCCATGCCCCTCTTGGAGCCTGGAGAGTGTATCTAAGTCCTTTCTGGAATACTCAGAGTTCTGAGGGGCACATACATGGAATAAGTTCTGCTTTACCCTGCGGGCATCATAGACCACATGGCCAGTGGAGAGGCCTTGGCTGAAGGCAGACAAAGCAGAGGGAATAGAAGTTAGGACAGAGGAAGGGGGTGTGGAAGGGACTGGAGTGGTTGGCAGGGCCATGACCAGTGCAGGGACAGGGGTTGTGGCAGACATGGGGACAGGGGCTGGTGTAGGGGCTGGAGCAGAAGTAGCAGCAGGGGTAGAAGCTGGGGGAGGGACTGGAGCAGAAGTTGGGGGAGGGGCTGGGGCAGAAGTTGGGGGAGGGACTGGGACAGAAGTTGGAGGGGGGACTGGAATAGAAGCTGGGGGAGGGACTGGGGCAGAAGCTGGGGGAGGGACTGGGGCAGAAGCTGGGGGAGGGGTCAGAGTTTGGGCATGGGTATAAGTTAGATGAGCATGGGTCAGAGTGTGGGTAAGGGTGTGGTCCTCGCACTGGGCTGGGCCCTGTGAGGGGGCGTGGTCCAGGGTATAGGCTGAGGTGTGCTCCGGACCACAGACCTGGGCAGAGTTGTGCTCAGGGCCCAGGGCTAGGGAGTCGGTCTGGGCCTGAGGTGGGGCATGCTCAGGGGGGTAAATGGGGGCGTGGGTCTGGGTATGGGCTGGGGTGGGCTCAGGGGGGTGGGCTGGGGAGAAGGTCTGGGCCTTGGCAGGAGCATGACCAGGGGACTGGACTGGGGAGTGGGTCTGGGCCTGGGCTGGGTTGTGGTCTGTGGTCTTAGTCTTGCTCTCTTGGGGCAGGCGCAGTGGAACCATGTCCACCTTGCTCATCCTACGGAACTTGGAAGATGTCTCCTGCTTAGAGTAGAAGGTGGCTTGGGCCTTTAAGGCTGTGATCTGAGGGTCCTCCCCAGCTCCCATGAGCCCCTCCTTCCACAGTCCCCATGGCACCTCCATGGGAGCCCCGGCATGTCCACACTGAGGCGGCATCCAGCAGCACTTAGAAGCCTTCTCATCGTTCGTGTCTGGTATCCGGGAGTCCAGGTGGTTAGGGTGCCCAAGCAGGAAGCTTGGGCGGCAGTGGAAGTGGGGCGGGACTCTTGAGCATAGGTTCTTGGGATCCACGGAGCAACGCATGCACATGGGATGGCTGCCTGCATAGCTGGATTGCTTGTCTGCAGGGAAAGGTGAGATGTGACAAAGCCTGGGTTCCTGAGGGGCTGAGGATGGGGACAGGGATAGAAGAAAGGGGACAGGTCCATATCCCCGGAGCCTACGCTGGGGCCCACTCACCTCTGGGGAAAAAATGACGGAAGAGAGTCCGCAAGGAGTTCTTCAGGTGTTTCCAGAGCTGAGGGAAGCAGAGGAGGGGAGAGTCCAGGAGCAGAGTGAGCCCGGAAGTCCAATCCTTGTCTGGCCACACCCCAACAGCCCTCCCACCTAAGCCCCTTTGAGACCCCGAGGCTCCCCCAACACTGCTGCCCAGATCCTGCCCTGACCAGAGTCACCACATTGATCCCCACGTTGAGCAAGATGAAGCTGCCCAGGATCAGAAGAATTGAGTCTCCTAGGTCCTGGCACTTTCTGGGGTTGGTGCCAGAGCACGCTTGGGCTCCGTGGTAAGTTCGCTCACCCATGGCTGGGGGTCCCAGGGCTACCTGGGCCCCCTGGCCCCCACATACTCACTAGGAGCCAGGCTCCTCTGGTGGGGGAGGGGGAGAAGGACTGCATCATAATGGGGAGGGGGTAGGGTCACAGTGAGGGAGGAAGAGAATAAAGAGGGCCAAGAGTGGCATTCCCTGGTAACCAGGGTCAGGCAGCCTGAGCCTGGACAGTCAAACAGGGCCCCAGAGGCCAGCACACCTCTCCTCAAGCCGTCAATCCTTCCCTCACAGCCCACTCAGTCACTCATTCAAACCACACATTCCACCTCCTTGGCCTTTCCTGAGACAAGGAAGACCCCTGGCATCAGAGCCCTGGGGAAGGCCTGGCTGGAGTCCAGAGCCTTGGCCTTCTTCATGCCCTTCACTGGAGTGGACCTGGATCTGTTCAAATGGGGACCCTTCCAGTTTGGAATCAGCTTCTTATATAAGCTTTGGGGACAGGGACAGCTGAGAACACAGTAGGTGCCCAGAGACCAATGGTTTGGAGTCTGCACCTGCAAATCTACTTCGTTCATGGTATAAGCCCAGGAAGGGCCTGCTGGCAGGACTGTGGCCACTAAGCCAAGGGGACCCTCAGGCCAAGGAGGAGACACTGGCTTCAGGAAGCCAAGGGCAGGGACCCAGGCTGGCAGAAGGGAGTGGCGCTTCCAAGCCACAGACCACCAGTGTTTCCTGGACTCTTGATCTTTATTCCTTTCTCCATGCCCTGCCCACCACCACCCCCATTGGCTGCTGGTCAGTGAATTTTCCCAGTCCGGCTTCTATGCAGAGAGGGCCTGGAGGCCGAGTTGGAAGGTGGCAGCGAGTTGGCTCGAATCCTGCTCTCCTGCACCTGCCGCTTCAGCTCCAGGCTGTCATACACCTGGTAGCTGGCATTGCCCCCTGGGTTCCGGCTGAGTGGCATAAAGGTGGGCTGGGGCGGCTCTGTAGCCTGGACTTCGGGCAGGGGCTGGGAGGAGCGGAGGAGCAGAGCTGAGCTGGGAGCCGGGGCCCGCTGGTACGAGGCCTCCCCCAGCACGGTGAGGGAGGTGGAGGTGGTCAGAGGGTGCCGAGTGGGCAGCGTCTCAGTCCACTCAGCTGCCCAGCGCCGGACCTCATGGGGATCCCGGGAGTAGTTCAAGTGTCCCGTGGAGGTGTGGGGGCTGCGGTTGGGCTGGCTGTGAGCATGGCCGAGGAGGCTCTGTCGGTGGACCTGTGGGGAGCAGTGCTCTCGGGCTTCAGGCCGGGAGCCCCGGGTCAACAGGGTGGAGGGAGGCTCGGAAGCCTCCAGACCACGTCGCCGCTGATCCCAATTGTCATACAGGAGCTGGCCCCTTGAGGGGTAAGGGCTGTGCCCTGCAGGGACCCACAAGGGATTGGGGGGCAACCGTCGGGGAGGTGGTGGAGATGAGGTCCACTGGTCCGCCTCCACATTGCCCCAGGTGTGGGATGGTGAGCAGAGGGGCCCGAAGGACTGCAGCCTGAGCTCAGACTTGGCCTCCACACGCTTGGGCAGGCGGCGCAGCTCAGGTGACAGGTAGAGAGAAGGTGGCGGCAGGCTGGCCAGGATCCCACCCTGGCGGCCCCAGAGCCCCACGCTGGAGGGCAGGCCCATCCGTTGGTAGAGCCCTCCCCAGCCCCGCCTCGGGCACTTGGGGTATGGGAAGGCAAGGTCTTCATCCTCCTCCAGGCAGGAGTCCAGGTCCTCCTGATTAAAGGAGGGCCTCGCCCGCAGCTGTGACATCTTGTGGCTGCGACGTGGCCTACCGAAGACCGAACGGCTGTAGGAGAATCGTTTGCGGTTCTTTGACCTCCGCTGGTGGCTGCAGGGGCGACTTCTGCTGCGGCTTCTGCAGCGGCCCTGGCGGCAAGGTTGATGGTGGTGAGGGCGGCTGCGGCTTCGGCTGCGGGAGTGGCGGTAGGAGGAAGAGGAGCAGTGAGTGGGCCGGGCCATCTTCACTTCTACAGGGTCCAGGGTACAGTGGATGTGGACGTCTTTGGCCTTGGCTGGAGGATATTTGGGGGAACTTTCACAAGCCTGTGAGATTTCATCTAGGAGAGGCAAGAGTCCATGAGGGCCCAGCAACTGTCAGAAGATTTCAGGGTCGGGGAATAACTGGGACCTGGGTTTCTGGGGTCTTGGGAGTGGCGGGGGCGAGGCGCCCCCTACCTGTTTTCCATACTTACTTTTCTGATTAATCCAAGAGGTGCTGTTGTCTAAGACATTCTGGAGCCTGTGCCACATCTGGGGGTGGAGTGGGGTGGGTGGAGTGGGAATGAAGGCCAGGCTCTCCCCACTCACTGCCCCCAACCCCGCCCCAGCCAAGACCATTTCTGCAGGGACAAGTGCCGGCTGTTGGCTCCCACCCTCAGCCCTCTTCACCCCCAGGGTGTCCCCAACCATCACTGACCATAGTTGCTATGTTGATCCCGATGTTGACAAGAATGACAAGGCCCAGCAGCAGGAGCAGGAAGTCCTCCACATCTTGGGTACTTTCTTGGTATTGATGGCAGCACCCCAGGTTGTCAGACCAGAGCTGATTTTCCATGGTGGGGGGGTCCTAGGGCCGCCCGGGCCACCCGCCCCCCGCCCCCCCACCAGCCCTGACCCACACTGCACTCATGGTGGGACCTGGGATACCTACCAGCAGGTGAGGGAGCGCGGTCACAATGAGGTATGTTGCAGGGAGTCACAATGCAGAGGTGGCATGTCTTTTATGCACTCAGCTGGCCCTTGATGTGGCCATCTTTGCCCTTGACTCCCACTAATGGAGCCCAGCCCCCAGAGTTCAGTCTGTCCTGTCTTTGTAGGGGCTGGCTTAACTCGATTTGAAAACATAACTACAGTGGGGACATGGTCTTCATAGGGACTGAGCCATGCATAAAGGATTTCCTCCATTTCATTGAGATATGGCAATTTTAGCCTGTTGGAACTCCCTACCCACACCTGCTTGCGGTGTGCAGCTAAGGTGATTAGATGGATGGGTGACAGTCCCCTCTGGCGTCACCCCACTGCACCGTTCCCTCCCAGTTCTGCCCCCGTCATAAGCCCTCTAGCATCCACGTTGGTCATCCCTTCCTGGCTGGGGACTACAGCCTTTGTTGTTTGTGATCACTGCGCCACCTGGCCCCTTTACTTCAGAGCATGAGGTTGCTGCCTTTCCTAGAGACCACCCCTCAACCATGGTTTCTCTCCTTCCTAACCAACTGCTCTCCCACTGAGCCACCCCTCCAGTTTGAAAAAGGATTAGTTGCCATCTTAAGAAAACCACATGAAATTCACAAAGCCCAAACTTTGGATGTAATTGTTGATGTGACAAAAGGAATCTATGATTTAAACCAGGTTCATCGCTGTGGTCTAAGAAAGTGGTACTGGGGGGACCTCAGGTCATTTTTTTTGTATAATGAACAACTTAGCAGAAAGAGAGGAACAGGGAATTCCCTGGAGGTCCAATGGTTAGTACTCTGCACTTTCATTGCCAAGGGCCTGGGTTCAGTCCCTGGTCAGGGAACTAAGATCCCACAAATTGCACTGTGTGGCCAAAAAGAGAGGAAAAAGAAAAATAGAGGAACAGCCAGTGGGCATTTCCCATCCAGCCTCCAAACATATAGTAGGTGTTTAAAATAGACCCACTTAGTGGAGTCAGTTTAAAATGATCAATAATGTTGGTCAAAGGAAAATGGCAGAGAAGCGAGGTGATTCATAAAAGGCCTATCTGCTCACATTCCAGGAACCCATCTGGTATGGAAGGTGAGGTCTAGTCCTTCGCCTGGTTCCTTGTTCACAAGTTGAGCATGTGTTGGTGATCCTAACTGTCTAGAAGTAGGTAGGGCCTGGGTTTCCCAGATATCCAGTGGATGGAATATTCTGATGAGTTTCCATGGGAAACTGAGGAAGATGGGAGACTCTGGTGGGCCAAGCTGACTCAGAAGCAAAGGGGATCTACCTGTGGGAGCAGAGGCTGGAGCACCTGAGGCCCTGAAGTTGATCCTTGGAGTCCATGTGACCATAAGTCACGTGATCTCTCTGAGCCCCAGTCTCATTTGTGACATGGAGGTGCTGAGCCAGAGGCATGAGGTCACAGAAGCCACAGCATCCTCAGTATTTTATCACTGCTCCAAGCCTTCTCGAGGGTACAGGAGCTTTGGGTTCTGACAGGGGAACTGTGAGGGCCGGGGTACCCTCACCCTCAGTCATCCCCCACCAAAGATTCCAGGGCTTAAGAGGGACCACACCTCACCTGTAGCTGCAGCATGAACCTGGGCTCTGGCAGGAGCCAGACCTCTGAGGAGATGGAGCCATGGGATGAGGGTCTCCCCTCAAGTGCAGTACTGCCTGGGCATCTGGAGTGGGATTTGGTGGGGGGCTTCCTCGAACACTAAAGAAAATGGAGCAGAAGCAGGCAGGAGCCTCGGAACCAAGAAAGGCCTGGGAAAAGGCTGAGGACAGGGCCTGGGGCCAAGAGGTTGATGAGGGGCCTCGGGGCTCTCTAGGCCCTGTTGCCAGGGAGATCATTTCCTTAGTAACCAAGCTTCTGGGTGCTGTGTGGGCCCTGGCACACACCCCCCCCCCCCCGCCAACACATACACCACCACCACAATCCACCTCCTCTCTTCTTTTTATTCTTCTCCCAGTCACCTCTCTGTCAGGAAACGGTATACCCAGTCCTTTCTTGTCCCCTCAGCTGTGCTGGATCCAGAGGCCAGAGGGTAACAGTGCGACAGGGCCTCCACCTCCCTGGTCAGCTCCCGCAGCCGCCGCCTCACATCCCTGGCATCGTAGGCGACGCGCCCTGAGGAGCGGCGCTGGGGGATGTCCGGGACATTGGCTGGGCCCAGGATGGGTGGTTCGGCTGGTGCGCACTGCTCCTGTTCCGCCTGGGCCCCTGCCCCTACCCCACCTCCACTGTTCTTGTAGCTCAGGATCTGAGGGCTGGGGAGTGGGGGATTCACAGGGTACACGTAGGCCTCTAGGCCCAGGTCAGACTGCATCTCTCTCTTGAGGGGCCTTCCCTCTATAGTCTGCTGGAAGCGGATGGTCTGGGTAGGAGGCTCCAAGGCGTCCTGAGCCCAGGGAGTCCAGAACCTCTGGGCAGACTGTAAACCCTCCCAGTCCTCAGGGTAGTCCCAGTTGTGGGAGCAGGCTGCTGTGTGCTGATGCGGGGGCTTCTTGTCATCGTCATCGTCAGTGTCAGGGGCCCAGGCCACTGGGCGGTGGGCACGGCGCGATGAAGAGCCTCGATGGCGACGGCGGCGAGTGGGTGGGGGGGTCACCGTCATCTTCACGGGGTCCATGGTGCATCGTAGGTGGACTGCTGGAGAGCTATGCTTCCAGGGCTGGGTTTGCTTCCCAGGTGAGCATAACTTAGAAGCTTCTGTGGATCAAGGAGAGGTGAGAGGCTGGTGGGGAGCCTGGCTCCTACAGGGATGGAGAGGCAGGGTACAGGAAGAGAAGCTGCGTAGTTATGGAGTCTGAGAGGGAGAGTGGGAGGGGAAGGGGCTGGCTTAAGGACAGGGACAGACTGCTCGATTTCTGCCCTTTCCACGCCCCCCCATCCGCCACTTACCTTTATCATAAATAACATGGAACACTTGGTGTAAGAAGCCACGGAGTCTGCGCCAGAGCTAGGTGAGGAAGGACACAGTGACCCCAGAGAGGCCCTGGCCATCAGGCCTGCCCCTAGCCGTCCTGCCAGCACCCTCCCACCCGGGCCCACCCTGACCAGTGTCACCATGTTGATGCCAATGTTAATGCAAATGATAAGGCCCAGCAGCAGCAGGATAGAGTTGCCCAGGTCCTGGCAGCTGTTGGTGTTAGGGCTGTGATACGAGGCCCACCCAGGCCGTGGCCGCTCAGCCATGGCCATGGGGGTCCCTAGGGCCACCGGGGCCCCTAGGCCCCCAGCCCACTGTGCCCACAGTATCCACCAGCCCACCTTCCTGTCCCCTGGGGGTAAACAGGTCATAATGGTGTGGGGCTCTCCCTCACAATGTGCCAAGAGAGAGTCCTGGGCCCAGGTTTGAGCCTCCAGCCTGGGCCAGGTCTTAGCAGAGACCAAACCCTACACCTTGCATGACTCTCCTGGAGTCAGCCATGGGCACCATCCTGTAGGCTCTCTGGCCTGCCTGGTGTCTGCCCCCATCAGTCCCTGCCTGGTCCTCTATGCCAGGCTGTGACCCCTCCACAGGCACGGATTCTGATCTTAACTCCCCAAACAACCCCATTGCCATGACAACCACACCCCAGCATCCACTGCCCATTTCTCTCAGACCTCAGAGCTCTTCACTAAAAAGGGTTGGACCCTCTCCTCCACCCTCTTCACAGGCAGAGTCACTTCTCCAAGGTTTGTTTCTATGGAGCCCCCCACCCCCACCTCCTAACATAACAGCAGGCAAAACCAACAGTTAAACTTTTATATTTACAATATTCTTTTCATCTTTTGCCAGGTTTAAAAATGTGTACAGAGCCGCAAAGGGTTGGGGTGGGGACATGGGGTTGTCAGGGAATTGTTCTGGGGAGAGGGGCTGGGCATTGGAGTCCGTGGCTGAATCATGGGGTCCCCCAGCCCCCCTCCCATGCCCCAACTTGGGGGGCATCTGTCTACAGGGTTCAGGGCCCAGGTCCCTAGCATTTAGAGGGCATGACTGTTTGGAAAGGAGCCAGCCCAGGCAGGGGAAGGGGAGGGAGAAGAACTAAGTTTCCATGGGTGAAGGTGGGGGCAGACGGGACAGTCAGGAAGCAAAGTTCTGGGGAGCCAAGACCAGAGATTCTGAATCTAGGTGTCAGTGGAAGACAGCACTCCACCCGACTCACATCTGGCACTAACGAACCCACAAAATGCCAGCAGACAAGGATTTGCTCTTCTCCGCTGGCATCCCTTGAAACCCTTCCCGACACAGTACTCTTCCCCAGAGGCCCAAACCCTTTCTCTTTGGGCAGTCACCTTACACGCGTCCTTTCAAAATCAAATTCTTCCTGCTGGTGTCTGCCCAAGCCCCGTCCCCCACTGCCCCCTCCATCTGTTCCTCAGTCCAGCTGACCCCATCCTCTCCCCAACCTGTCCTGGGAAGCCCTTCTCCCCTGCTCTCCTCCCCTCTCCTCTGTTCCTTTCCTTCAGCCCAGGGGAGCAAGGGGTGGGGGCAGGTCAAAGGAGGGGGTGGGCAGCTGAGGGGAGGAGCTGGTTGGACACCAGGAAAGGATGGCTTCCCAGGGGGACAGCGATGCAGGGAGGGAGAACAGAGGCCGAGAGGGAGGGATGACACATGGTGAGAAGAGGGACACAGGCGGGACCCCTTTAGCTGCCACCTCCCCCCCTCCTGTATCCCACCTGCCCACATGTTTACTTGCCTGGGCCCAGGACTGGGAGATCATTGCCACACTTTGAGGGTATTCCCCCCTCAAACCCACCTCACTGGTTTGGCACAGATGAGCAATGGCCTGAGGGAAAGGCTGTCCTCAGACTGCAGTGAGGGCTTTGGTCAAGCCATGCATGGTATCTGTGGGTGGCAGGTGCCACACTCACCTTCCACCCCCCAGCTTGGCATCTCCAGGGAAGGGAGAGAGGGAGGGGCAGAGCCCCCCCCCCAGCCCCAGGGCTTGTCCATCCCCCTCAGTTTCTATCAGTCTGAAGTCTGTTCCCACCTGCTGTGTGAGAAGTGCTGGGCCTGAGGTTGGGAAGACTCAGGGAAATGCTGGAGCGAAAGGGGCTGTCTGCATGGGAAAACATACATCCACATGCAAAAACATGATTCCACTCAGAAATGCGACCTGGGCCCACGGGAAGACACGGTCCCAGGCAGCACAAGATTGCAGGGTCTCCTCCCTGCCCCCCACGGCAGGGACTCTGTGTCTGGTGGAAGGCAAGGCCTGCCTGGGAAGACCTGCTTCACCTCATTTGTGCCAAGGGGGGATACACATGCTTCACCAGGGGTGGGAGGCGGTGGGGGCGGGGGGGCCAGGAGGGGGGGCTGTGATTTATTTCTTCGGTTTTCCCGGGCACCACCCTGTGTCATCTGGCAGCCAGGGGTCTCTGTTTGTGAACACACCACTTCCAGGGTCTCCAGGGGGTGGGAGGAAGGAGCAGGAGGGAGAAGGCATGAGGGAACAGAATTCTGGGGTACAAATCCCCGCAGGAATTCTCTGAGGGAGCCAACATGTGTCCAGGGCGGCCAAAAAAAACCTCACCCTGCACATGGGAAAACACACCCCCTCGTGAGAAAGCACACCTCCACGTGGGTGTCCCAACGGAGGGGAGAAAACACCCCCCTCCCCAGTTGTTCAAAGGCCCAGGTCCGGAGAAGAGAAAGGGCCTCTCTGCTTGGGAGAGACGCATCGCTGTGAGAAAACCCATGTCCACCTAATGCTCGTCCACGTGTGACAGCTCCACACGAGAAAAGCCTGTTGCATCCGGGAGGGCCGGGGAGGGGGTCCTCCCCGAGCCGCCCACTATACCCGAGTGGTGGAGTGGGGGTGGGGGAGCGTGTTGTTGTGGCTGGTAGCTGTGGGGGGCGGCGGGGGGAAGGGCCCGAAGGGATGGAGGGAGGGGGGCGGCGGGGGAGGGGGTGGCCCCAGGCCGCTGGGCAGCAGGGTCAGGGCCCCGGGGGCCAAGAGAGGCACGTCGTCCGGCGCCCGGCGCAGGGCCAAAGTGTAGTCGGGCGGACAGGCGGGGCGCAGGGCCTCTGCAGGGTCCGCCCCAACGCCCCCACCCGGCTTCAGCTGAAGCGACACCAGCTCCTCCTCGGGTGGCAGCTCGCGGCCGGCAGCGGGGAGCAAGGGGCCCCCGCCGGGCACCCCAGAGCCGGAGCCGCCGGGGGGACTGAGCCGCCGGCACCGCAGCTCCTGCCGCCGGTCCCGCTTGTAGTAGAGGGCAGCAAAGGCGAGGATGTTGAGGAAGAGGAGCGAGGCACCCACGGCCACGGTGACGCTGAGCTCCGTGGAGTAGTCTCGGGAGTCCCCGGGGAAGCGGTCGTAGGCCCGAGGGCCCGGCTCGGGCTCCGGCTCCGGCGGCAGGGTGGCGGGGGGCGGCGGGCGGCGCGTGCCCGGGGCGCCAGGGGGCGGGCGCGGCGGCCAGCGCGTGGCGTAGGGCGGCAGGCGCGTGGTGGTGGTGAAGAGCTCCGTGTGCAGATTGTGCAGGTGCGGCACGAGCTCCAGCCAGAAGGCCACCTTGTTGGCCCGGTAGTTGTCGCGCACGCGCGGCTTCAGACCGATGTGCAGGTACTGCTTCTCTTTGCTGTTGAACTTGCTCCACACCACCTCCTCGAAGCGGTTGGGCTTGGTGTGGATGAACTTGGTGTCCTGCGGCACCGGCTGGTTGGGGTCGCTGTGGACACAGGTGGGCAGGGAAAGGAGTGAGGGTGAGGCCCTGATGAGAAGTGGGTTGGCTGTGGGACCAACGGGGGAGAGGGATGGGCAGAGATGCAGAGAGCTGGGGAGATAGAAAGAGAAGCAGAGAGAGACAGACACGAAGAGACAGAGACACTGCCAGAGACGGAGATAGGCAGAGAAAAATAGGGATGAAGCCAGACTGCCACAGTCTGAGATGACGCCAGAGGGACAGAGAGGGCAGACGGACAGACCGCCGGTGACATAGGCAGAGTGAATGAGACAGAGACATATGGAAACAAAGAGACAAAAGCCCATGAGAGGCAGCTGGGGGTGGGGGGAAGCAGGGAGCAAAGAGTAAGCAGATCAAAGAGAGCAGAGATATCAATGGATTTCAGGAGAGAGAGCTAGAGACAGCAATAGAGAGAGATACAAACTCTTATACACATACTCAGAAACACAGACAGGAGCCCTCAGAGAAAGAGAGTGGTGTATGCAAAGACAGACACAGAGCCAGAGCCATCAAGTGAGCCCACCCGCCGGAAAGGACCTCTCAGTCCAACATTTCTGAACCTCCAACACGCACAGAGGAGCTGTCCGGCAGGTGTCTGAGTCGAGAAGGTGAGAGCGCCTTGAAGGAGGAATGATGGCCGTGTGACGAAGAGGGAGAGAAGGGGCTGAGGATGGACGGTGTGTGTGTGCCCTGACCTGCAGGGTTGCCCCACCCAGCCCCTCTGGCCCTCACCCAGTCTTGGCGAAGTTGGTCCAGTAGGTCATGACCACGGCGCTGAGCATGACATCATTCTTGGAGAAGTTGCAGGGGAAGAGGTCAGTGGCACCCACCATGGGCACACCAAAGACATAAGGTAGCTCATCCCCGTGCGCTGCGTCCGCCCACTCGGGCCGGCCCTCAGCCTGGCAGTGGTGGTAGAAGGTGTAAAAGTAGACGGGAGACTGGTAGTCAGCATGCAGCTTGGCGGTGGCCACAGCCGGTGCCACCCACTGGTGGTCAGTAAAGAGTGCCAGCAGGGTCTTGCGCCGCATCTCGCCATTGTCCCGGTCAGCCCAGTCTGTGTACATGAACTTGATGGTCTCCCGTAGCACGTCCTTGCCCTCTGGGTAGCCATACAGGTTGTCCACGAAGTTGGAGACCGTGAAGTCGAAGGCGCTGGCGGACACGCCATCCTCACTCTCTGCCGAGTCCTCCACGAACTTGAGGCCCTCTCCCTGGTTGACGCCAATGAGCATGTCGTAGTTGAGGAATTCTCCCTGCTGCATGAGGATCTCAGGGTCATCAGGGACGACATCACCGTCCACCACGGGCCCAAAGGCGATGTGGTAGCTGGGGAGAAGGGGTCAAGGTCACATCACCTGTTGGCTGGCCTCCTCTCCACCCACAGCCTGCTGAGCCCTCTGCTCGGAAGACCCTTCTCCCCTAGTTAAAACCTTCAGAGCCCTTTCAGGGCACCTGGCCTCTCGGGAAGTCCTCCCTGAAGCACTTCCTGGCGTCTGGTGCACCCAGGCTCTGTTTAGGCACCTCTGCTTCGGAAAGCTTTCGGGAGAAGGTAGGTCCATGGGAAGGGCCTGAAGCCTACCACCTGGCTAAATGGACAGCCTGTGGCCCTCAGGCACCTTCCACCCTCAACCTCCTTGGACCCAGCAAGGAGAGTGGAGGCCTGGACTTAGCCCTCCCCCAGCCCCATACCGGGCAGGCTGCACATCCTGGTCCACCAGCTCCCGAGAGGGTTTCCGGCGCAGACACTCCACAGCCTCGGCGCTGTCCTCCCGATCACAGCCCACCTTGGCAGCCAGCAGTCGCGTGTATTTGAGTGGTTGGTAGTTGACAGACCAGCTAGAAATGGCAGTGCCGCTCTGGGCAATGGCCTTCTGGAACAGCCCTGGCAGGACAGGCAGGTTTTAGGCTGGGCTATATCAGCCCGAGGGAGAAGGGGCACCTGGTGGGGCCAGGGGTTGGGGAAGGGGACAGGTGGGCAGGTGGCTCGTACCTTCCGAGTGGTGGGAGAGGATCAGGAGGTTGACACAGGAGGCTCCTGCCCCAGATCCGAAGATGGTGATGCGTTCAGGGTCCCCCCCAAAGTGGGCGATGTTCTCACTGAGCCAGCGCAGGGCCTGGATCTGGTCTAGGAGCCCATAGTTGCCTTTTGCAGCCTGGTCTCCAGTGCTGAGAAAACCTGGGGGCAGAGGAAAAGAGGGGGCTTCCTGGGGGTGTCATGGCACCCTTGCTGTCTTTCTGGGCAGCTCAATCCAGCCCAGAAGCCATTCTGCTTCAGCTGGGTCTAGTGTAACCCTGCCGGCAGGCCCTCCTCCCAGGACTCCAGCCCCTAGAGTTGGCTGCCCACCCTCACCGAGCACCCCAAGCCGGTAGTTGAGCGTGGCTACAATGACATTGCCGTAGGCGGCCAAGACGGAGCCATCGAACATGTTCCCCGTGCCCTCCATGTAGGAGCCACCGTGCAGAAACAGCATCACTGGCTTCTTCCCGGAGTCCCGGATATCTGTGTGGGGAGGGGGTGGGGGGGATGGGCCAGGGGGTAGGGACAAGGACACAGTCAGACCAGAAGCAGCACCTCCCAGCTCCCAGGACTGCTGAGTTCCAGCCGGGAGCTCAGGGGATGTCACTCCCATCCCTGGGGGGCAAGACCGGATTCCCCTCCCTCCCTCCCCAGCTAGCCCTGGCAGAAGTTCCCTCCCCACCTCCTGACGGCCTGCCCCACAGCACTTCTCCAAATGCCTGGCAGAGATTCCAAGAAGCCTAACAGAGGCAGGTGTGGGGGGTGGCCCTCCTCAAGGCACCTGCTGGATCTGGGGGGACCTCTCCCCACACACACAGCAAATCTCCTTCCTGCTCCTAGGAAGCGTGAGCTCCCAAGGCTGGGGCTAGAGCTAGAGATGCTGGGAGGGTCCTGGCATTTCTTCAGACTCAGGCCTTGGGCCTCAGCTCCACATGGTAGCCTGGTCTGTGGGTGAGGGGGTGCCAGGCCCTAGGGTCCCTGGGGGCTTGGTCTCCTCCCTGCCCTAATTCCTTTCTAGGTCACCTCCCAAGTTACCATGGCAACCCCCAGCCTAATTACTGTGGCAGGAGGAGGCAGGGTGGGAAAGAGCCTACTTAATGAAGCCAGGGTGCAGCTCACTAGTCTGGGCCCCCGAAACCGGCCTGAGCCCTAAGTTCTGGACCCCTCTCTTGCCCTGTCCCCAAAGGATCCCATGATCACTGCCATATGGAGTAGGCCCTTGGGGCACTCCAGACTGGACTGGAGGGTAACTAATTCCAGAAGAGGGTGGGAGTCTGAGAGGGCTTGTCAGGGTCCCTGCTCCTGCAGCTCCTCCAGATGCAGCCACAATACCTCCAGGCCCTCCTCTCTCTTGACACCTGCCATCTCTGACCAGCCTAGGCAATCAGCAAACAAGAGCCAAGCCTGGGCCTCCACAGCTGGTCCCTAGCGCCTCTGCCTGTCTCCCTCATCCCACTGGAAACTTCTCTCCTGGCAGAAGGTCAACCAACAGGTCACTAAGAGACTCCCCTCCACCCTGGATCTCTTCGGACCTTCTCTGCCACCTCCTTCCACCTGACTTTGGCCAGAAGCTCCTAGGTGGGAAGTGCCCTCCCCCAATCCTGTTCTTCCCTCAGTTCCTGAACCTCCAGTGGCCTTCCAGGTTCAGGCTGGTCTCCTTCCCTCTGAGGTCCTGTCCTAAATGTCCTCAGTCCGTCCCCTTCCTCCCCACCCAGCACCTCCACTCCCAGTGTGGGGGGAGGGGGAGTCGGAAAGGGAAGGAGCAGGAAGGGGGGCTGGGGCAACAAGAATTCAAAACCAACAACAAAAAAACAGGATCAAGAAAGAAGAAAGAAAAAAAAAAACAACAACCAAAAAGCAAGAAGCTCTGGGGCAGATTCAACAAGAAAAGAAAAACAAAAACCAAAAAACCAAAAAGATCCATTTTTGGGAAAAAAGGAAAAAAGAAAAAAGTTCTTTGCACTTTTTCAAAATTTTGTGGTGAAACTTCAAGATATTGGGCCCTGTTTTCAAAAATTTCCAAATTCTTTAATTTGCTTCAAATGTGTGTTTCTGCATCGGACAAGCATTTTTTTTTTTTTTTTTTGGAAATCGTAGCAGGTTTCTGATGTTTCAATTGTGTCATCAATTTGCCAACTTGAAATTTTTTTTTAAATGGTGTTTTGTTCCAAATTTAAATTGTCTTTTCAAATGTTACATTTCACAAGTTTCTAAACAGTCCGAATTTCTGTCAAACTAAACATTTTATCCAATTCTTTGGTTTCTTTTTTTTTTTTTCCCTGACATTCCAATTTCTTTTTTCACTTTATTTTTGCCATGTTTAAGCTTTTCTTGCCAGTTTTCTAGTGGGTCCAACATTGTTCAAATTTCCTTTTAAGTTTTCATAATTCTTTTTTCCAATTATTACAAATTTTTCTTTTCTTTTTCGTTTTTAGTTGGGAGAATGACTGAGGGGCCTTGAGGGCTGTGGGGGCATTTAGTTAGGGGCAGGGCCGAGAACGTCCTCTTATCAGCAACCACATGCAGCAGCGGGATTTTTAAATCTACCTGTGTCTGGCGGATTGAGCGTCGCCTCGTCACGTTTTTTTGTGAGCGGACCTAAGACCGGGAACACAAAACAGAGAAAAAAGGACAATTTTGTGGGGAAAGATGGGAGTCGGGGGGGAGGTGGTGGATGGGGAGGGGAGGAGAGAAAGCAGAAAAGGGGAGGGTGAGGGGCAGAAAAAATAAGCCAAAAAAAGCAAAATTTTTTTGCAAGAAAAAGAAACCAAGAAAAGAGAAAAACGTTTCTACAACCCAAATTTTGTTCCCCTCCCCGGAAAAAGTCATGCCCCAAAGAAAAGGCTGGTTTTGCGGGGGTGGGGGTGGGGGGTGGGGGTGGGGGGGGTGCCTGAGTGGGCTGAGGCCTGTCTTAAGACATATTGACTTGGCTGGAAAGGATTTGACTTGTCCAAGTGTTTGCTAATTGCTGGAAATGAAACAGTGTTAGAGGTGGGGGTGGGTGGGAGGGGAGGGGAAACCAACCCAGGAGCCTGGGAGCCCAAGGCCAGCTGTGCTCCCCCCAAAGGGGGGTGGCCACCACTCAGGCAGGCCCTATTCAGGACCAGCCAAGCACCTGCCTGCTCCCCCAGGCTGTAGACAGGAGGGGTTGCAGCAGAAAGGACTTTGCCTCTCTCTGGACCAATCTGGAGGGCAGAGGGTAGTATGGAATTGGGGCAGCCCGAACCCACAGCTCACGGCCCCTGAAAGCCCTCAGCTTTCCACTGGCAGGCAGGGAGCGGAGGTCAGTGAGCGCTGCATGCCCACCTTCCCAGCCTCTCACCAGCCAGCATTTCACTTCCATCCGCACAGATGGGCCTGACTTCTCACCCCATGTCCCCAGTGTGGGGCGAGCAGGGAAAGGGGTCATCAGGTCTTGCCCTCCACTCCACCGCTTCCCTCTGACCCCCCCAACCTCATCCTCCCCCCAGATGGTAAACTTCCCACCAGGGGCACCAGCCCCCTTCCCCCACCAACCCCTGCTCTAATGCCAAAAGCCCCCCTCCCCAATGGGGGATTCGATGCACAAATAGGGACTAGGAAACACACTGCCCTGAGCCAGCCTGACACATAGGGTGCCAGGAGGTGCTGGGAAGCACAAAATGTGTCCTCAGGGGAGGAAAGGCCCCAGACTGGGCTCAGAGTTTGGCTCTAGGCTTCTTGAAGACTGGGGGATCAGTCAAGGGAGAGCTGGAACCCAGAGGTCTGAGGGGTTCCCCCAGGTTGGTCGATTTCTCCTCAGCAGCATGGGGCTCAGCACGGGGAGGGACGGGTCAGTAAGGCCAAAGTCAGCCTCTGAAAAGGCTCCCCGCAACTGGTGATGATGGCCCCATGAGGACCCATTAGGATCAGGGCCTGTTTTTCTCTGACAGGCTGGGGATGGGGATGAAGTCAGCAGGGCATGTGTGCGCGTGAGAATATTAAGTGTGCGGGTGTGTGTGTGTGCCTGAGTCAACCTCTTCCTCCCAGAGCTGGTGTGAAGATTTAGTGAGATCACCTGAATGTGTCAGGCCCCAAGCAGGTCTGCAATAAGCGATGGTTAAAAATACAGAAGGTGTGGGCTTGGGTGGTATGGGGGCAGGGTGGGCAATTTGTGTGGAGGTGTTGGGGTGGACAGTAACTCGGTGAGAAGTGCTGGGTGGATGTTTCACACAAGGGGTGATGAGACAACAGCCCACTGAGCAGGGCATTGGTGAGGGGATGGGGGACAGCTTTCTACATGAAGTGTACATGGGTGGAGAGTCCACAAGTGGAGAGCATTATGATGGGTGGTCTGTTGGAGGCACGGGGGTGAATGATTCACTAGTAGCAGGGCACTGGGGTAGGTGGTCCATGAGAAGGCAGGGGAAGGTGGAGTGGACAGTTCTCATGCTGAGGGTGCTGGGGAATTAGGGAGGATGTCTGGAGTGTATTGGAGTAAATAGTCTATTAGAACGGCTGGAATCTGAATAGCATTGGGGTAGAAACTTCTGTGCAATGTGTGTATGGGTTGCTTGGAGGCGTGGTTCATATGGGGAGGGGTAGTGACAGTGTTGAGGTGTATGAGTGTTCTGTGACTGGCAGGTCCTCTGGTTTCAGGAAGCAAGGCATTGGAGTACCTGACCTGTGAGTAGAGTGCAAGACTGTCACCTGTGTTGTCACAGCCTGAGGTATGAAACTGATGACCTTGAGGCAGGAGTTGGGGTAAGCAGTGTCTGCGAGGTGTTGAGAACGCAGGGGACTGTGGTGTGAGTGACCGGTTGAAGCACATGGTGCAGGTGCAGGGTTAGTGCAGTGATGGTCCGTGTGTGAGTGTTACAAGGCCACAGGATCTATACACCTAGGGATCCTGGGGAGCACAGGTCTATGAGGGTGACAGGGCGCGCAACTCCAGAGAGGTGTTGGCGTGTGTGCTGTGTGAAGGCTCTGGGAATTTTGATATGTGGGATGCTAGAGCACAAGGCTGGGCTTCCCAGGTGGCTCAGTGGTAAAGAATCCGCCTGCCCATGCAGGAGACATAAGATCAATCCCTGGGTCGGGAAGATACCCCGGAAGAGGAAATGGCAACTCACTCCAGTCTTCTGCTTGGAAAATCCCATGGACAGAGGCACCTGGTGGGCTACAGTCCAAGGGGTCGCAAAGAGTCGGACACGACTGAGCAACTGAGCACAGAGCACAAGGTTAGTGTGCTGGTCGGTTGGATACATGCCCTGAGTGATGAATAGTTGAACTGCCTGGTCTGTAGAGGGACCTGAGTTCATGATGTGGGAGTTTTGGGTGTACAGTGGGGTTCCTGGGTGCCAAACCTATTTTTACACTCGTTGGAAGATGGCCTGTGGGGGACTTTATGGGAGTGGATGTTTTTTGTGGGTGTCGGGGTGTTTTGGAGCAGTAAATAGGGTGTTAGATAACGTGTTTGTGAGGATGGTCTGTGGGGTGGCTGCAGGCCTGCCAGTTGCTCTCTGCTGTGGGCTGCTGGAAAGTGTTGACACTCTGGATGGTCTTGGTGCGCTGAAGGTTGGCTGGCAGGGAACTGTTTGGGGGAGTGTCCTGGGGACTACCAACAGCTAGTCAACTGGAGAGTTCATTCAAGAACAGCCAGCTCAGAGCCCTGGGGAAGGTGTTCTATCGGGGATGGGTGGGCAGTGCTGTGAGTGGAGGGGCCCTTGACAAGGAGATTCCCTGATCCTTTGGAAGTGCATAGCGATCAGGGGACAGAGCCTCCTGGGGAAGACGCATTCACCTCAGGTGAGGGGCCCTTCATGTGACAGGACCTCTGCCCATGCCGGCCTGGGGAGAAGGAGTCTTTGCTGTCCTCAGTGGAGGTCTAGGTAAAGTGGGTACTTGCTGGGGACAAGCCAAGGCCTGGGGGGCGGCAGAGCTGGAGTGGCTGTCCTGGCAGCAGATGGATGCCCCCGCCACCTGGTCGCTGCCCCCTGCCCCCCGCCCCCGTGTCCCCTCTGGGTGTGCTTCCGTGGGGAGGGTGTGGGTAGGCCCAGCTTAGTGCCTGCAGCTCTCGCTATGGGCTTTCTAGGCGCATAAAGAGCTTCTGGACTGCCTAGCAGGGACCAGTAACATCCTGGGAGCCCGCAGGGATGCACCGCCCCTCATGCCTGCCCCCCCCCCGCCCCCCCGCGAAGGCCCAGCTCCCTCCCCGGGGCGCGCTGGCGCCAGAGGGTCTACGTGGACGTTTGTGGGCTGTGTCCACCGGGGGCCCAGCCCGGTGCCCGCGCCCTTACCGTCCTCGGTGGGCACGTAGAGGTTGAGGTACAGGCAGTCCTCGCTCTGGTTCTGCACATAGGTGGCGGCCGCCTCCAGGTTGTCGGTGAACCACACGGGCAGCATGATGGCCGGCAGCGCCCCGTGCAGGTTCTGCGGGCAGGCGGGCGGCAGGGTCGTGGCGTTGCGCACGCCGGGCCACGAGGCGGGGGCCTCGGGCGGCTGAAAGCGGCGGGCGCCCAGGGGGGGCGTGGCGTAGGGCACGCCCAGGAACTGCACGACGGGGCCCAGGATCTCGTTGTTGAGCTCGCGCCGCACGCCGCGCACTCGCCCGTAGGCCGTGTTCACCACTGGGAAGCGCTCCTCCCCGAGGCTGCCGAGACCCAGGCCCGGGCCGCCCGGGGCGCCGCCGCCGGGACCCCCTCCCCCCCGTTGAGCCCCCGCCAGCCCCACCAGACACAGCGCCAGGAGCCACATGCTGATCGGGGGACCCCCCCTCCCTCCCCGGGACCCCCCCCCCTCGGAGAGAGAGAGAAGGGGGGGAGAGGGAGGGAGGCCCCCCTCGCCCCAGGAGGGAGGAGGGGGCGGGGGAAAGGAGGGAGGAGGGGGGTGGGGAGGGACCTGGGTTAGACTGGACAGAGAAGGGGTCTGTTCCTCTCCATGGAGGGGGCGAGGGGTGGGGAAGGGGAAAGAAGTGGGAGAAGGCGAAGGCAGGCCCGACCTGCGGGGAGGAGGGATGGACAGACGGACAGACAGAAAAAGACAGAGAGGTGCAAGAAGGGAAGGGAAATTGGATGGGGCAGACAGATGGGAATGGGGAAACAGAAGAGACAGGTGGTTAGTGACTCGGAATTCAGACCAAACTGCCCCCCTCCTTCCATCCCCCTGCCCCTTTGGCATCTCCCCCAACCCCAACCACCCCCCTCCCCTCTCTCTGCAGGGACCCATGTAGAAAAGTCTGAAGCTGAGGTGAGGTCAAGATGTGTTAAATGTCTAGGATAGCCAGAGGGGAAGGAGGGCCAGCTCCCCAGACCACCCAACACGCCCCCTTCCAGCAGGGGTCGATCCCTCCCAGGCAGGCTCTCCTCTGGGGACTCAGGAGTCCCAGTTCTCACCTCCCTGGGAGGGATGAGATAGACAAGGAAGAGAAAATAAAAATACCAAGTCATTAATTAGCAGGAAGTGGCGGCTTTGTTTATATGTGTTAATTACTCCCGAGCTGTAATTTCATGGCACTGAACCCCCACCCCAGGCCAGACTTGGGCCTTTCTTGGGACTGCACAACCCCAGCACTTTCCCTTTCCTTCAACATCTCATTCTTTTGAAGGGTCTGTGTAGTGGGGGAGACCCCTCTACTCCAGGCCCTCTCCATTTCTCTCCTCAGAAGTTAAGGTGTCTTGAGGCAGGGTCTAGACAGGGAGGAGATGCTGGAGGGGCAAATCTGGGGACAGATGCGTGATCCTGCAGCCGGTTGCTGGGCGACGGGATGCTGCCCCGCAATGTTACCTCGGCAACGGGCTGCAGCTTTAACCCCGGAGGGGGAGGGGTCTGGAGGAAGAGGGGAAGGGGCTGGATGGGTTAGGGGGTCCATTGGGGCATGAAGAGGAGAGCAGAGGCATGAGTTAGAATGCTGGAGTTTCCCCCAGTCTTAGCATAGAGGAAGAAGTATATATGTTGGGGGGAGCTGGAGACTGGAGGCAGAGAACCCTAAAAGAACCACCTCTTGCCCCTTGTTGGCCAGTCAGAACCGAGCCCTAGTGACCAGGCCTCTGGCTGGAGAGAAGGGGTGCTGGGGTGGGTTTGAGGGTAATCAGATGCACCCATCAACAGTTACCCTTCCACAGTCTTGAACAGCCTTGAACCCCAGACACCTCTTCCTCCACGCCTGGCATTTTGACCCATAGGGGCAAACCGTTTTGCCCTAGGGGCAAACCATGGCTTCTTTGCATCCCCTTCCAGCTCTTCACCTCCCCTTCCCCTTGCCAGCCCCCACCCCCCCAGTTGCTGCCCTGATGCCTGGGTGCTCAGGGCAGCAGGGACAGGACAAGGGAACAGATCGGACTAAAGGGGCAGACACCCAGGTCATCTCAGCAAGCCCCCCCCGCCCCCCCCCCCGCCACCCCAGCCGCCAGAGCTGTTTGCTGACGCGGGGTTTTCAGAGCCAGGCGCCAGCCCGCGGGTGGCTCTCTGCAGGTGTCAATGTATTCCAGAGATGAGGACACGGGAATCCTTACCACACACACCCAGTCATGCCCTCCCTTTCTTCAGGTCCTCTCAAGCTCCTGTTCCCCTGACACCTGGAGGGGGCTTGGAGCTGGCTTCCCAGGTTCTCCTCTGCCTGTGCCAGGCTAGGCTCTGCTTCCATGGCCTTGCTGCCCCCTCCCCCTCCCATGAACAAGGTCTGCCTCTGACCGCCCCCCCCCTCCTCCTTTAAGGTACTTTGGGCCCCTGGCCTCCTCCCTGCCAGCCTCTCTGCCTTCCTCCCTCCCACTGGAGCCCTCCCCCCAGCTCCTCTCCATAGCGCTCCCTCAGAGCATCTTTCCGAGGCCTCTTCCAGCTTGCTCCAGCTCTTGCCTTCAGTCTCTCGCCCCTTTTTTCGTCTCTATCTTCTACACCTCCCTTTTGGTGTTTCTCATCTTTCTTTCTCCTCAAATCCCTTTCCCAAATTTCTCCCTCAAGCCCCTTCTATTTCTCTCTCTCTTTCCCTAGCTCTGTCTCCCCCATTTTCTCTTCCCTGCTCTCCCCATCTCTGTCTGCCACCTCTTGCCCCCCCCCCACCCCCCGCATCCCTCTGCCTTGCTCGCTCCATTCCTGCCCAGGCCTGACTCCCCCAGCCGGGGAGAGTTGAGGGACGGGGGCTCAGGCCGCAGGCCCCCCCCCCTTCTTCCTGCAGTGGGGAAAATGGCTTGGCCGGGAAGGGGAGAAGGAGGGGGAGGGGGAGATGGGAACACACGGGGTCTGTGGGCCCATTCAAAGGATCATTCATGGGCTGGAGAGAGGCAGAGACAAAGAGACCGAGACGCAGAGACACGGCGAGAGCATCCCTAGGCGGAGACACGCAGACAGAGAAGGCTGGGGGAAATGAGGCGCAGGGAGAGAGAGGGGGAGAAGGGAGACCCCAGTGGACCGCCACGCAGCCCCCTCCACCCGGCCCGGCTTAGCTCCTACCTGGCTCAGCCCTGGGGCCGTGGTGCCTCCATCCAGGGCTCCGAGTAGGGGGCGGCCGGGCTTCGGGAGGGGGGCGGCGGCCTGTGAGCCCCCGCGGCCCCGCAGGCCCAGCCCCCGCCCGCAGCGCCTCACCCGGCGGGGGAGGGGGTTCGCCCCAGCCCCGGGGGGCGGGGCCGGGATCCAGTCGATCCCCGGGGAAAGGAGAGGTAGGGGATGGGGTCAGGAGGAGCCCAAGAACAGGGAACCCCGCAGTGGGGACGGCGAAGGGAGGAGGGAGCAAAGGGACAGGACTGGATTGGGGATCCACTGGCTCCGTGGGCTGGCTGCGAGGGGCTAGAAGGTGGTACAGGCGGAGGATCCTACGGGATCGGGTGCGGGAAAAGGAGTCCACGGCAATCCCCAGGGGCCCGAAGCCCAGGAGCGCAGGATCCGCGGTGCAGGGGCAGGGATCCAGCCGGAATCCTCAGGGAGGGGGAGGGATCTAGTCGATCCCGAGGGCGGGCGGGAGGGGAATGTCCGGGGAGTCGGAGGAGGGCGGGAGCCGAGTCTGGAGCCCCGGGGCGGGGGTCGGCGCGGATCCTAGGAGGGAAATTGGGGGTAAGAGAGAGGCTTCGGGGAACGCTCAGCAGCCGGGAGGCCCGGACTCCTGGCCCCGCGCGCCTGGGCCCTCCCGCCCCGCGTCCATCCCAGCCCGAGAGTGATGATCCGCTGGCGGAGCAGCCGCAGCAGCCCCGCGCGTCACCGCGCGGCCGCCTCCCCCGCCCCCTGCCGAGAGAGCGGCGCACACCCCTTGCTAGCACCCGCCTGCCGCCCGCCCTCCAGAGTGTAGGGGGGACTGGAGAAGGTGGAAGGGGGCGGGAGTGGACAGACCGACGGATGGACGAAGCAGGCCAGGGCAGGGTGGAGACATCCCCCCGCCCCGTGATCTCCCAGCCTCGGCTTCTGGCTGTTAGTTGGGGGGCGGAGAAGTGGGGGGTGGTGAACTCTAAGGGGCGGGGCATCACACGAAGAAGGCGGGGCCTTCTGGTCCAGAGGAGGGGCTTTGGATAATGGGCGTGGTCTAACGCTGATGGGTGGGGTTTCGTTATCCATGGGCCCGCCTCTTTTGGGGAGTGGATCTGGTTTAAAGCTGAAGAGGAGGAGCTTGTGGGGAAAGGGGCGGAACTTTGCCCAGGGACCGGGATCTTCGGAAATTGACCGGTAGTTGCGGGGGGTGGAGAAGGTGATAGGAGAAGCTATCAATTTGGAAAGTGGGCCAATCCGTGACGCAAATCCTCTAGTCCCGCCCCCCACAACCCCGCCTACACTGCTCAGCTCCTTCGCTTTTAATTGGTTCTGGTTTCTCCGCCCGCCAGACGTCTTCGCCACTCAACAGAGGTTTTACAAAGGTCCAAGTACCCGGGTGAGGACCTGGACGCTAAAATGAACACGGCCCGGATTGGGCACCCGTAGACCTTATTTGCATGGGAAATCGGGATTGGCTGGCTTCTTGAGGGGCCCGGGCGGTGTTCGTTCGGCGCGTGACCGACGACAGCCATGGCCGGTCTCGGGGCTGCTTTCCGCCGCCTGGGTGCCTTGTCCGGAGCTGGGGCCTTAGGCTTGGCCTCCTACGGGGCGCACGGTCAGGGGGCTGGGGATGGAACTGGGATTGTGCTGGGGGAGATCTTTAGGATCTGGTGCAGAGGCAGAGTCTAAAGGAAATGTCGGCCCTCCCATCGACCAGACTGCCCGCGGAACCCTGAACCTTTTTAAAAAACCTCTCAGCCGGGTCCACTGGGTTCCCAGAACTGCCCGTGCGTGTTTCCACCAATCAGAAGCCTCCTGGGGGCTCCCTTTCTCGTCGGCGTCCACCTGGGTCCACCACCACCACAGGAGTGGGGACTGTCTGGGTTGGCGCTAGGACTGGTAACCTTTGCTTCTCCTTTCCACAGGAGCCCAGTTTCCGGATGCCTACGGGAAGGAGGTGAAGTAAACGTGCTGGGGCTCCTCGACTTGGAGGCCTCGGAGGGCGCAGTCAGAGGTCCCTGAGAGAAGGAGGGGAGGGACGGAACGCAGGTCTTTGGAGTGGCAGGGAATGCAAGTCTGAGGCCTGGGTGCCTCAGGGAGGGGCAAGCTGGAGCTTGAGAGATCGAGTTGGATGTTCCTGTCCACTGTGTCTCCGCCCCAGCCTCCGGTGTCTTGCGTTGCTTAGGAAGTACCCCCATTTCTTTTTTTCTTACAGCTCTTTGACAAGTCCAACAAACACCACTTCTTACACAGCCTGGCCCTGTTAGCGGTACCTCTGTGCAGAAAGCCCCTCTGGGTAATTCCCCCCATCCCCAGCCCTAACCCTGACCAAGCCCCACCCATTCCCTCTTAACTCGCCAGGTTCTTACTGGCCTGAATTCTGCCTTGTGTCTCCTTCAGGCTGGGTTACTGCTAGCTTCTGGAACTACCTTATTCTGCACCACCTTTTACTACCAGGCTTTGAGTGGAGACCCCAGCTTCCAGAATTTGGCGCCTGTGGGAGGGAGCCTGCTACTCTTGGGCTGGCTTGCCTTGGCTCTTTGAGCTTTCTTGTGTTTAATTTCTGGGTACCTTTTTTTTTTTTAAGAATTGGAGCAGGAAAGGAATTAAAAGAGAAAGGCAAATAAAGAACTTTGGAGTTTTTGTTCATCTAATCTCCTAAAAGAGAAAGGACAAAAATTGTCAAACCTTTGAACTCCTTCCCTTTCTTAAGACTGAATCAGCGAGGCTTGGGTTTGGGTGGAGAGTCACTGTTCACTTCAGGTTAACTTGTTATAAGTTAACAGTTGGGCATATAATTTATAAGTTAAACTGGCGGGCATTAGAGTCATAAAGAACGCTTGAACTAACGCAGATTCTTACCAAAGCCCTCTTCAGGGCCTGGGAATCTGTATTCTAACAAGCTTATCTTGTGGTACTGATGCTCACTAGCATTAAGACTAGATTTTGGTAGGGTAGTGGTTTTCTGGGGCACCCACTTACTCTAGAAGTCAAGGTTAAGGCAAGGTGGGATGGGAGGTGTGTGATTACTTACAAAATACTTCGGGGTTCAAAGCTGAGACCAAACATCATGTGTTGGGAGTCAGAAAAATGCTTCACAGTGCTTGAGATGATTTTTAAAACAACTCTGTTGTGTGGCTGAAACACAGGGAACAAAGAGAAGGAGATGGGAAGGGAGGGGCATGGGGCCACCTGAGTCCTTGGTGTGGGCTGAGTTTCTTAGGCAGAAAAGGAGTGAGAAAAGGTGGCCAGGCAGGCTGGAGTAGCACCCACGGCAGAGAACTGGATAGTATTTAGGGGGCTAATTTTTATTAAAGTGTTCATCAAGTGTTGGGTCATGTGTCAGACAAATGTTACAAGGAAATTGAACCAAATGGCTGGACAAGACAGATACTGTCTTTCCCTTGTGGGATTTTCATCTAGTAACTGGAAACAGACCTTCAACAACTGAACACAAATTATCACTATGAGATGTGCTCTGTGCTTGAAGGAAAAGAATAGGGAGGCCAGAACAATGGGCAGGGAAGGGTGTGTCCCTTGAGTTAGGAAGGCCTCACAGAGCAGGGGCCCTTAAGGCTGGAATCAACCATACACAGAGTGGTGGGGAAGTGTGGTTTTTGGCAGAAAGAGTACCTGGTAAGCAGGCTGAAATGGAGCAGTTTGAAATCCTTGAGGCTGGAGAGAATTGAGCAGATTGGAGAAAGAGCAAAAGCAGCTTGGCTGACATGTAGTGATTAGAGGGTCTCCCATGGCCAGTGCAGGCCTTGCAGGCAGTAGTGGTGAAGCACTCAGAATTTATTTGCAGTGCGACAGTAAATCATTGAAAGGTTTAAAGTGAGAGAGTGCTAGAGTCTGATTTATATGTTTAAAAGATTTGGAGAACCAATCAGAGGACAGCGAGGATGCCAACAGAGACCAGCCCAGAAGCCACTGGAGGTCCAGCTGTGAGATGGTGACGGTGGCTTGGCTGAGGGGGAAAGAAGTGGTGAAAATGGTCCAATTTAGAAGATGAAAGAGAGGGAGATTTCTGGTTTATGCACCTGGTTAGGTGGAGGTGCAGTTACTCAGATAAGAAACACTGAAGGAAGGGACAGATTGAAGGAGGTCAGTTTTGGACACTGTTGCTTCTGAAATGACTGGGAGACATCTGAGTGGAGATACCAGGCAGGTAACTGGGGAGCTCAGGGAGAGAGATCTGGCCTCAAGTTTACCTCACAACCCTCTGGTCAGTCTTCTATCCCACCTCTTCCCCATTCATGGGAAAGAGCCCATGAATCACTATGTTCTCTTGGTTGCCAGACCCAGTGGATGATTTTCAGTCCCATCTCCCTCAGCCTCTGCAGCATTTGACACAGTTGGCCACACTGCTCAAACACATCCTGTTTCTTCTGTGACACCACTCTCCTGGTCTTCTCTCTCTATGGCTGCTTTACCAGATTCTTGTCTACCTGGTTTAACCAAATTTTAATTAAAAGAGAACTCATATGTAAATGTATACATATTTTAATTTCACCTTTTAAAATGTCTATTTTTGTGTATATTTTATATACATGGATATCTGTATAGTATACTGGCAGTGCATACTTAATTTTTGTGAAGGTGTGCATTCAGAAAAGTGCAGACCATTCAGCTGAGTGAGATAGTTTCTAGGTAATTTCATTTGGCCCTATAGCTTTAACTACAACCTGCATACTTTTATTTATTTGGCTGTACCGGGTCTTAGTTGTGGCATATGTGATCTAGTTCCCCAAGCAGAGATGAAAGAACCCAGGCCCTCTGCATTGGAAGTGCAGAATCTTAGCAACTGGACCTTCAGGGAAGTCCCTCCATACTTTCAAATCCAGAATTTATCTCTGACCCTAGTCCCTGCTAAACTCCATACCCCTGGAGCATCTACAGTGTATCATAGTGTTCAGTGGAAACCTGCAGGAATTAGGTGATGAGGAGAGAAAGGGGCATCTTCCAGACCAGGGCAAGTGCTTTGGAGGCAAGAACCCCAGGATTGCTGGTGGCTGGCTTAAAGATCATGAGATGGTCAGCAGTGAAAGATGAGAACAGATGGGGCCAAATGATGGAGTGCCTTGTGCTGAGGGGTTGGACTCTTCTGAGGGAAAGAGCGGTGGGGGAGGAGCATTTATATCCAGAGGGAGACATAAACTCAGGTGTAGTAGTAGAGAATCAAAATATCACTTGATTGTAAAGATGAGGTGATGTCCTTGGCAGTCCAGTGGCTAGGGCTCTGTGCTTTCAATGTGAGCCCAGGTTCAATCCCTGGTTAGGGAACTAAGATCCCACAAGCTGTACAGTGTGGCCAAAAAACTGAAGATGAGTAAAATAAGGCCTCAGGAGATCTTCAGAGTGCCAGTGGTAGAGCCAACATTGGATCCCTAGGGTCCTACCTCCCCGTCCAGTGCCCTTCATCTCAGGCAGCATCTGGAGTGCAGGGAACCTCCCGGCAGAGGAGACCCTGACAGTCCATAGACTGTATCCTTATTACCTTTGCTTTGATCCTCCAAGTGGGTCAGACTCTTGAGGAACCAAGCTAAATAAGGTCCACGTGGTAATTGGTAATTACTGCACATTGTGTCTGCTTCCCACTGAACAGTCCTGCTAGTCAGTGGAAAGTGAAGCTATGAGAGTGAAGCAACTTGTCCTATGTCCTACAGCCAAGACCTGGGGAAGATGTGATTCAAACTCTCTTCTATCCAATTCCCAAAGCTAACATTTTTTTCTTTGTATGTACCAAGAAACTCAAGATTTCAGCAGTGAAAATAGACCCTTTAAAAAATAATTTGATACAGTGTGTTCAGGTTAGAAGTAGATACTGAACTTGTTTTGCCTTTGGGGACTAGTAAGACGCATTTGCTGCGTTCAGCATGCATAGTTCACCAGAGAAGGAGACTAGATTATACTGGTAGTAAGTCAATTGGGGAATCGGAGTGCTTGGAGCTCAGGATGGAATGGGCGGGCAGGAAATGACCAAGCAATAAGAGTGAAGGGTCTCCTGGACTAAGTGAGTCAGCTTTGACTTCCCTTTTCCTTACCTCCTATATCCAAGCTATCATGAAATCGTGTTGGCTCAAATACAGAACTTGAAACTGACCATTTCTCAACCACCTCCATTGCTACTACTCTGACAGCTGGTCCACGCCACCATCAAATCTCATCTAGCTTTTTGCAAGAACTTCCCTTGAATTCCCTGTTGAATTCTCAAAAGATTCCTATGTCTGCACCTCACTTAAGATGTGTGCCTGTGCTTAGCCACTCAGTCATGTCTGACTCTTTGTGACCCCATGGGGACCAGGCTCCTCTGTCCATGGGATTTTCCAGGCAAGAATACTGAAGTGGGTTGCCTTGCCCTCCTCCAGGGGATTTTCCCAACCCAGGGATTGAACCCAGGTTTCCCACATTACAGATGGATTCTTTACTGTCTGAGCCACCAGGGAAGCCCTCACTTCAGATATTCTAATGTAATTGAAATGAAGTGGGGCCCAGCTAGAGGTTTTTTAGTTTAGTTTTGTTGTTTAGTTGCTCAGTCGTGTCTGACTCTTTGCAATCCAAGGACTGTAGCCCACCAGGCTCCTCTGTCCATGGGATTTGTTTAGATTTAATATGTATTTAGCTGTGATATGTCTTAGTTGCAACACTTGGGATCATCCATCTTTGTTGCAGCATGTGGGATCTTAAGTTGTGGCATTCAAACTGTTAGTTGAGGCACGTAGGATCTAGTTTCCTGACCAGGAATGAAACCTGGGCCCTCTGCTTTGGAAGCGCAGTCTTAGCCACTGGACCACCACGGAATTCCCAGAGGTATTTTTTATAGCACCCCAGATGATTTGAACTTGTGGCTAGGGTTGAGGACCACTCTTTCAATATGTGAATCTCATGTCTCCTTTCTGGCCAAATCCTCCAGCACTTTGCCTTTCATTCAGTAGAAGCCAGTGGTCTACAGGGCCATATGTGATCTGGCCTCCTGTGACCTCTCTTTCCTCCTCCTCATTCTTTTCATTGCAGCCACACTGGCCTTTGGTTCACTGAACAAACAAGGTACACTTCTACCTCTGGGCCTTTGCCCTTGTTCCTTCCACCTGAAAAAGTCTTCACCTAGCAATCTACATGGCTTAATCCTCAACCTTCTTTAGGTCTGTGCTCAACCATCACCTTGGTGATGATGCCTTTTTAGTTCCACCCTCTTTAAAACTGCAGCTCCTGCTCACCATTCTCTCTCCTTTCCCTGTTCTATTTTTCCTTATAGCACTTGTCACGTCTGACTTCTGATATATTTTATGTACATTGTTCTTCCCTGGGGAGATTTAGAATTTTGTTACTTTTTTTTAAAAAATGCTACTTTTTTAAAATTGTCTGTCTGAAATACAGTAGAGGCTCATTAAATCTCTGCTGAATAACTGAATTTCCTTATGTGTTTTGGAGGAGTTTGGTGCATGGTTTGGGCCAGGTAGAATCTGAGGCACTAAGGGATACCAGGAGAGAGATCTGGCACTTGGGTTTGAAGCAGATGACGACTGAAGGACCAGCCCAGAGGAACATGGACACAGGGACAGAGGAGCCGCCAAACCTGCTTCTCCCTATGTTCATCTTGCTGGGTGAGACCCCCATCTGCCTGGTCACCAGACAGGCAACAGAAGTCATCCTGGACTCACCTCCGCATCTCACCTCTCAAGCAAGTTCTCTATTATTGTCTAAATATAACCAAAGTCTGCCGCTTCCCGTCTGCCTACACTATCACAGCCATCCCCTCCCCCAGACTACTGGCAACAACCCAGTCTTAGGTGCCTCTGTTCTCCACCACGCAGTTTAAATGGTTTTCTAAAATAGCTGACCTCCCTCCATCGTCGGAAAATCTTTCAGTGGGCTTCCTGCTGCCCTAGGGAGCCAGAGCCCAGCTCCCACAAGGCCTTATGCGCACGTGGCCCGGATTCTTCTCTAAAAATGCATTTCTTGCCACTCAGCCTTTAGGCCCCCAAGGCGCAGGACCCCTTCACACCTCCTGGCCTGGGCTCAGGACTCCAAGCCGAGAAAGTGATGCCTGTTGGGGAAGGCCTGCCTGAGTCCAAGCTGCCTCCTCTGCCTCCTGAGCCTCGCCTCTCGCACGCTCGTTACTGTCTGGCGGCCTGTCCCCCGCATGGCTGGGGGCGCCTGAAGGAAGTATTGTAATTGCGAAGTGTCCCTGTGGGTCACTGCTGCATCAGGTAGAGGTAGCCCCAAGGAGGCAGAAGAGGAGCCAGGATCCAGTCGGAAAAGCCAATGAGTGAGGGTGTAGGGTGTTCGGCTGCGTCAGCGAGGCGAGGCCTGAACCGCCCTCAGGAGGAGGAGCCTGGGGTCCAGCTCCGCGCGAGCAGCCCTCGCTCCCACCAAGGGTCACTGGTCACTCTGCGCCCGCAGACCTGGCGGGGGTCGCAGGGCTAGGTCTCACCCGGCTGCCCTCCCAGGCGAGCTTCTGCATCCGAGCGGAAAGGTCGGGGACGCCCGCCAAGCCACGGAGCGGGTGGCTTACGCTCCGCGGCCCCACAGGAAAGCAGGCGTTCTTTCTGCGCAGGCGCGACGCTCCGGCCGGGAGGGGCGGGGCCTGGACGGGTCGGGGGCGGAGTCACCTCTGGGCCCGCCTCCACTAGCTCCTCTGGCCGCCGAGTGCTGGGCACCCGGGCTATTCTAGGGGCTTCAGGTGAGCAGGGGGAACAGAGGGGTCAGGAGACCTCCCTCGAGGTCGGGTCGTCGGTCTGACTGCAGGCCCATCTGTCCTGCCGTCTGCCAACAGCCGCCTCCGCGGAGAATGGGAGAACAAAGGGAGGGGGCGGTACTGGGGCCCCTGCGGGAATCCAGGGTCCCAGCGCCCCCGCCTTGCCCGCTGACACTTTCGGTTTCTCCCCGAGTCAGACGCGCCGCCCTAGAGACCCTGGGCCGGCGCTGGGCGCAGCTGCCTCTCCGCGTTTGCCTGTCGGTCTTTGTGTCTGTCTTTGTGTCTGTCTGCTGTCTTCGAGCTTGCCTCCACTTCTAGAACTAAATCTCTGGGACACCGACATCCCACGAATCCTCGCCCCTCTCCCATGGCAGGTAAGTGGGCGCAAGGTCGAGGGTCTCCGTTATCCCCCCACGGACTTGGTAGCCTGGTGTCAGACGCATCCTCCGGGAATGTGCTCGGACTGGCTGTGTGGGGCCCCTCCCTTCCTCCCCGAGAAGCCGCCGCCCTGCTCCCCCGCCCCATCTTTCTCATTCTCTTCTCATCACATTTTCCCCGCAGCCTCGCGGCCTATGGGCCAAGCGGTAAAGGGATGAAGTCAGGGACCCCTTCTAACCTATTCTTGTGCCCCCCACAGGCTACTTGCCCCCCAAAGGCTATGCCCCTTCGCCCCCACCTCCCTACCCTGTGACTGCTGGATACCCGGAGCCAGCACTGCATCCCGGGCCTGGGCCCGGCCAGGTGTCCGGACCCGGGCAGGCCCCAGTGCCCGCCCACGTGCCTGCCCCTGCGGCGGGCTTTGCTCTCTTCCCCTCGCCCGGCCCTGGGGCCCCGGGACCAGCTGCCGCCTTCTTGCCATTGCCAGGGGTGCCTTCTGGTCTCGAATTCCTGGTGCAGGTGAGTGAGAGGGAGGGAGGAAGGAAGGAAGGAAGGAAGGGAGGAGTGACAGGGAGGGGACCCGGGCAACTAGGCCAGCCAGCTAATGTCCGCCTGGCCCCTGTCTTTCCAGATTGATCAGATCTTGATTCACCAGAAGGCTGAGCCGGTGGAAAGTGAGTGGAAGAAGGAATAGGTTGGGCCTCATCACGGGGGCAAATAGTGGGCTCTGGGGCAGGCTCTGGTGTCGGAGCCTCAGCATGTCACCCTTTGGCAGCGCTCTTGGGCTGGGAGACCTGTAACCGCTACGAACTGCGCTCCGGGGCCGGACAACCCCTGGGTCAGGCGGCAGAGGAGAGCAACTGCTGTGCCCGGCTGTGCTGTGGTGCCCGCCGGCCCCTGCGAGTCCGCCTGGTGGACCCCGGGGACAGAGAGGTGCTGCGCCTGCTCCGTCCCCTCCACTGTGGCTGCAGCTGCTGTCCGTGTGGCCTCCAGGAGGTGAGTGAGGAAGGCTGGGGCCAGAGAGAAACTTGATAAGGGGCTGGCCAGTGATGGCGGCAGAACCTGGATGAGGCATGGGATGAGATGGTCCTCCAATTGGAGTTGGCCAGCAGCAGGTGGGATGGGAGGCCTAGTGAGAGGGAAGACAGGTGGTCTAGTGAAGAGGATGGGAGGTCTCATGAGGGGAAACAGATGATAGAGCTAGACTGGTGAGAGCTGAGCAGTGATTCTGTCTGCTTCCAACTCCAGATGGAAGTCCAGGCTCCACCGGGCACCACCATTGGCCACGTTCTACAGACCTGGCATCCTTTCATCCCCAAGTTTTCCATCCAGGACGCTGACCGCCAGACCCTCCTGAGAGTGGTGGGGCCCTGCTGGACATGCGGCTGTGGCACAGACACCAACTTTGAGGTATCAGGAATAAGGGGAGATTCCTGGGACCTTCATAAACCAAGGCATCCATGAGGCAGGATAGTCAAGAGCTCATTAATCCAAACCCACTGATGCCTACCACATTGCTGGCTTTCCTCTATTCAGAAATAAGATGGACCAGGGTTTTACAAATCATGGCTGAAAAAAAAAATAGCTGAGAGGATTTCATCTTAAGGGCCAATGCTGATTGTGATCTGCAACCTTGTGTTGAGGGAGAAAAAAAATAACCTTAGGCCAGGCTGGATTTAGGATGAAGGATGATTATTGAGTGTACCTTGGGCTGGGCCCACATGGCCACTGTGTGTGTGAATTCATGAGCCCAGGGCCTGGAGCAAGCACTGATTTCACTTGTTAACAGCCTGTGGCTTGCCTTGCCAAATATCCACCCATCCACCCCTAGCCTGAAATCCAGGTGATGTCCTTCTTACCATACATTCTGGTCACCAACCTGGAGCCTAGAGAATCCAAGTGGTGACCATTTAAGAGTAAAGCCTGGGAAGCACCTTCTTTTCTAGAAGATAAAGGCACTTGAATACTTTAAGAGATAATTATATGTGTAGATAAAGGAGGAAACAACAGGTATAGTCGGGTAGGCTTTCCAAGGCTTCTGATAAGGTGCTCTACCTAAGGTTACTTTTTAAAACTGAGTCACCTTGGTACCTGGGGAAAGCTTCTTTGATAGGAACTCGTTGGGAAAGAGATAACTTGGTGATCTCTGGATGAGAATATGTAGGCTGCATGGTTCTCATCGGCTCAGTCTTTCCTTTTATGTAATATGAATGGTCCACATTTGGGGTTGTTCTTGGGACCGCAGGGCTGGCTGGGAGAGGCCCAACCAACCTGAGACTGGTCTGCAGAAAGTGCCCCAGGGCTGTAGGACCTTCAGGGAAGGGGATGGGCAGGATATCACTCCAGTTCTAGCCACAGGAGAATGAGCGGAGGATAAAGTCCAGGTGGTCACTGTGAATTACCACCCACATTGGCAGGGCCTGTTGCTGCTGGGTTCAGAGAGGCCAGTGAAGACCCTGGTCCTCAGAGGCCACTTTCTGCTGCCCCCTCCTCCCACTGGATGGACTTGTATCCACCTTGGATGAGGCTTGCATGCCACACTAGACAGAGCCCTCACTACCTTGCAGATGAGAGGACAGACACCCCTCTGGGCCACCTAGAAGCCTGGTTGGCTGAACACAATCAGGCGTTTAGCAGCCTCTTTTAGCCCATCTGGCCAGGCTACTCTGTACAGGGCACAAACTGCACCAACCGTGGGTGGCAAGGACTTTGGTAACCAAAACAAACCTAGCAACTGGCCATCCGTTAAGGAGATTAGACTGCATTGTGCTTCTGTTTCTCCCAAAACTGATGTTTAGTAGTCATGTGTGGCCTTTCAAGAGCAACAGATTCAAGTTGCCATTCTGATTTTTGTTGTGGACTCACAGGGTGACCTCAGGTGGCTCAGTGTCCCCAGATGTCACATGGAACCCAAAGGCTTTGGGAGGATTCACTACGTGTACAGCCTGCACAGTTCATAACCGGGGACTATGGGAGTGGGACTGGAGGCAGATGAGATCAGGCACACCCCTTCCATGTGGGATCTCCCTCCCTCTCTCTCTCCTGCCAGGTGAAGACCCCAGACGAATCCCGCAGTGTGGGCCGCATCAGCAAGCAGTGGGGGGGCCTGCTCCGAGAAGCCCTTACTGACGTAGACGACTTCGGCCTGCAGTTCCCGCTGGACCTGGATGTGAGGGTGAAAGCTGTGCTGCTCGGAGCCACGTTCCTCATTGTGAGTCGGCGGCCCTCATTCCTCCCCCCAGTACCCCTCGGCTCTCACTCAGAGATTCTGAGCGCTTCTTGGCCGTCTCCTGTTAGGAGAGGCTCAGGGACAGAGTCTTTAGGGGTTTGGGGTTCCAGACCTGGGTTCTGATAGCTGAGCCAGGCTGGACCAGCCAGATATCCTGCTGACCATGCCCTCCCCTCAGGACTACATGTTCTTCGAGAAGCGAGGAGGCGCTGGGCCCTCTGCCATCACCAGTTAGAGGCCCTCTCTGGGTGAGGAGACCATCAACTCAACCAGAATTCAGGATGGTCACCCGCCCTGACCCCTGCTCAGAGGCAGCCCCTTTCCTCCGTGCACACTGCAGGCGAGAGACAGGGAAGCCTGAGAGGCTGGGGGCTTGGGGCCCCATCCCTCCCCTGCTCCCCTGGCCTCCTTTACCTGTGGCCCCCACAGAAGGGTATGTATGAGAGCCCTTCCCCTGCTACTTCCCGCCACATTTCCAGTGGTCCCTCAGCATGCAGGCACATCGGCTTTCAAGTGTTCCCTACCCACTTCCTCCCAACCCCTTCCAGGGCTTCTGCTCCAGACGAGGCCTTAGAATGCAGGACTCTGGGGTTTTCTGACAGGGCTGGGGGTGGGAAAGGCACCAAAGATGGCAGACCTGGCCACCCTTTCCCTGCATCCGCTTGGCCAATTCGTTCAGCCTCAGATGATGGCACTCTGAGGGCATCCTACCTCCCCACTAGGGCCAGGACCCCAGTGCCAACTTCCTCTCCCTCAGCTGGTGCTTGCTGCAATTTCCTGTGCCTTAACCACCCGTTCCTTCCCTTGCCCCAGGAAGGAAGCTGTATCTTTTTATGTTACATTCATATAAACTTTGTAACTTTTTGCACACTGGAAGATGTATGTAATGGGAGAGGGTAGGAGAAAGAGTTGGGTGTGGGAAGAGACAAAGGGAAATATGATAGCTGGGATGGGCAGGAGCTGGCCCATCTCATAATCACACTGCCAAGATCATGTGTCCTTGATTCTAAGAGAGCCCCTTTCATCACCCATGATGGCCCCAGACCATGCCAAGGCAGCTGAGGCCGTATTCCCCAAGTCATCCAAGATGGCTGCCCCCACGGAGCCCAGTGTGGTAGCTGATGGCAGTTCAGGATGGCTTCTCCCGTGACCCAGAATGGCCTTGTGCTCATTTTCTGTAGTGACAGAAGCTTCCTGTGGGCATGATGTGTCACAGCTTCGCTCCTCCAAGTATTCCCTCTTGTTGGGCAGGGTGGACTAGATCCTTCTATGGCCAAGGGAGCTTGTGCCCTCAGAGGCCAAGGGGCAGGTGAAGAGACACCGGTGCCTGATGCTAGGCTCCTCCTGTACCTGCCACAGGCCTGTTGGGACCTTGTTCTGCTTCTGCCTGGTCTCATGTGGCCAGGCCCTTGGTCTGTCTGGTGTCTGTGCTCAAAGAACAGAACTCAGGGCTGGGCCAGGACATAGCGGCTGGCAGCCGAGAGGTCCCACTGGTAACGCTCCAGGATGCGCCGGCAGTCCGCTCTGGACCAGCTGCTGAGGTAGAAGAGCTGCTCTACCTGTGGGGGTGGGAGGACAGGCAGCTGACTGCCAGAGGGCAGGGCCAGGAAGGGCGGGAACCAGGAGAAGGGTCAGACTTTACCTTGAGGTTCCGGATGGCAGAAACCACATCTCCCCCAGTGGCTCTTAGAGCAGCCTGGCACTCCTGGTGGGTGACACCGTGCACACTCAGCTCCACCTACCGGGGACGAAGCCTCACTTAGGCCCCTTCCCCAGTCTGTAGCCCCTCTGGACACCGGGCCCCTTCAGGGAGACCTCACCTCCATAACCCTCCTCTGTAGCTCGGGGTCGGACAGGGGTCCTCCAGAGGGGATGGCGGCTTTGCTGGCTCCAGGTGCTCCTATGGGGTGACTGTTGGGGAGTTCTCTTTTGGGCCAGGGAGGCCGCTCCCTGGGAGGCTGGGAAGAGCTGGTGGCCATGGGAAGGTGGGGTGGCCGGCCTGGGGGTCCCTGGGGCCCAGTTCTGGCATGTCGAAGTTCAGGGGGGCTCGACCCACCTCCTGTGGGGCGGGGGCCCAGGGAAAGAACTGACTCCAGACTTTTGGAAATGCCTACATATTTGAGAAAGAAAACACAGCTTGAGAGGAAGCCCAGCTGCCTTCTTCACGTCCTCTGGCTATCTGTGCTGTCCTCGGGGTGGTCTTCTGTCTAGGCAGAACCCAGATGTGCAGGATGGATGCCCATATCCAGGCAGCTAGGGGACCCAGAGAGCAGCCAGGGGCTGCAGGGGAGAGATGCCGCCCAAAGTCCAGCTAGGATGTCAGCAGGCAGAGGAAAGGCAGGACATCATAGGTGGGGAGATCACAGATGCAATCAGAGCAAGGGGCATTGTTGGAGGGTGCTTCTAGACCTTCTGGGAGATCCCGCAGGCTCTGTCCCCACTGCCACGCCCACCTTTAGTCCTCTGCAGAGCCACATTCCTTCTCTGGCCCCGAGCCTGAGGGGCATCCTGAAGCTTTGCCTTCCCTCTGTCCCTGTTGGAGAGTGTTCCAGTTCATTCTCCATCCCCACTGCAGAGAGCAGTGCCCTCCCCCAAAGAATCTCTGGGGCCTTCAGGCAGACTGAGACATGAGGGACGTCCAGCCTCCCCTCCAGCTTTACCCCACTTCCCTCCATCTTTACCCACCTCCCTCCAACTTCACCTCCCCCACAGGCTCCCCTTCCAGAAAAGTTGCTGGGCTTGGTTGGTTCCCTAGCCTAGCTCTGGCCCCCACTCTTTCAGGTCCTCACCCATCTGCGTTTCTCTGGTGTCGCTCTCCCCGGGCAGGGGTGCCTCTGAGGACAGGGCGGGTGGCTGGTGGGTCTACCAGTGTCACCGCTGAGGCTGGGAAGCTACCCACTTTGAATGTGCGACTGTTCTGGCCCTTCCAGGTTGTGGAGTCAAGGCTGTGGGAAGAGGCATGGGTGAAAGGGGCTCGGAGCCAGGGGAGAGTGGGGGCTGGGCCCTGGTCCACATTCAGCTCACAAGCTGTGCGCTACGGAGCCACATCTGCCTGGAGGAAGGGATGCTTTTTTCTCTCTAACACAAAAGGGCTCTATGGGCCAGTGGTGGCTCTAGTGGGGAGGCCAGGACTGTGGTAGAGTGTTTGGGGCTAAGAGGGGAGAGGAGGCAGAGGCCTGGGATTCAAGGAGCTGGGGGGAAACTGAGCTGGGACCAGCATCAGGAGGGTTGGGAGGGAGTCCTCCTGGAGCTGAGTGGGAGGCATGAGGCCCTCACCTGCCCTCAATGATAGTGATGGGGTCACCAGGCTCCATCCTCAGGGCACCGGGCTCCATGACCTCCCTCACACAACGTCCCTCAGGAGGCCAGGCCTGTAGAGACAGGAGGAAAGGGTGGCTGGGCTTGTGGCATGAGTCACAGGGTAATGTCCTGGGAACAGAGGAGAGACTGTTCATGCACCCATCAAGCAAACCCCTACCAGGTGTGTCCTGTGTCCTGGGCCAGAGTGGGATGGTCCCTGTCTCTCGGTTGTAATCCAGTGGAGGCAGATCTGGATTCCATGCCAAGCTGGACACAGCCCGGGGTCAGGGAGCAACAAAAGGGGACCCTGCCTCTATCTAAGGGGGCCAAGGGGAAAGTCACCCTGTACACTGCTTTCACTCCATACCCAGGCCCATCAGATCTGCCTCCCAAGCACCTCTGGGAATTCTCCACTTCTCTGTAGCACCACTGCCTCCACCCTCGTCCAGACCTCTTCATCTCACTTCTGCTTCACAGTCATTGCAGTCTACTGTTCTTCCCATCTTCAGTCTCATCATTCTATTCCATTCTTGCACCAAAGCAGAGTGTGTGCTGTGCTAAGTCGCTTCAGTTGTGTTCAACCCTTTGGGACCCTATGGACTGTAGCCCACCAGGCTTCTCTGTCCAAGGGGTTCTCCAGGCAAGAATACTGGAATGGGTTGCCATGCCCTCCTCCAGGGGATTTTCCCAACCCAGGGATCAAACCCACGTCTCTTACGTCACCTGCATTGCAGGCGGGTTCTTTACCACTAACACCACCAAGGAAATCAGAGTGACATATATATAAAGATGGCTTGTAACTCTCCTGCTCACAACCCTTCTGTGGCCCCCAGATGTCCTCAGAGTTAAGGACTAAACTCCTTTAATGTTAGAGTATATAGTGATTTAGGGCACGGCTCTACAGTCAGAGTGACTGGTTCAGCTCTCCATCCCTCCACTTCCTGTGTGACTTTAGGCAAATCACTTAATCTGTCAGTGTCTTAACTGCCCCCTCCCTAAGACTGAGCTGGGTTGTTGTGAGGACTGAATGAGTGAACATGCATCAGGATACACGGAGAGCACTTAGCACAGTATTTTGCGCATGCCGAGCACTCTCAGCGTTAGCACCGGTTATTTACCATGTCTTATAAGTCCCTCCTTGGTGCACCCCTAAAGTGCCTCTGCCACCTTGGTCACTGTACTTCCCCCTCCCACGTGGAACCTTTCTTCTGCCTGTCAAACACCCACTGCGTCCTGCCGCTCTGGGCTCCCCTCTCTCTTCCCCAGCCTCCAGCCCACATAAACTAGACCCCAGCTGTCTCCCTGGGGCTCTGAGGACCCTGAAGGTGAGGAATGAATCTGCTTTGTTCAGAGTCAGGTCTCAGACCCCAACCTGGGAGTCAGTATATGTCCATCTTGTGCGTGGGACCCTGGGAGATGAAACAGAGGCAAGAGAGACGGGGTTTCTGGGGAGGCAGGAGCTCCCACCTCTTGGAGCAGCCCCTCTAGGTCGGAAAAGGTGGGCCGATCAGCAGGGTGGTAGGCCCAGCAGCGTAAGGCCAGGGTGTAGAGGGCCCTGGAGCAGAGAGGAGGCCTGGGCAGGCGGGCTCGGTCCTTCTCCAGCCGTTGCAGGATGAGGTATGGCGGGACCCCGGCCCAGGGCTCCTCGCCCCCAGTGAACATCTCCCACAGCGTCACCCCATACATCCACACGTCCGAGGCAGACGAGAAGGCCCCGTGGCGCAGGCTCTCGGGCGCACACCTGCGGAAGCGGAGCTGAAGGGGGCCAGATGTGTGCGCAGGCTGTGCACCCGGAGCGCCCACCTGCCACTGGGCACGCCCCCTTAGTGCCAGCGTTCCTCCCAAAGTCCTCCTTTCTCGGCCCTTCCAGACCAGAAGACTCCTCTAGTCCCCGCCTCCCTCAGAGGACCACCCCCTCGGCTCCTGCCCCCAGAT